CAGAATGCTTTCCAAACTCTAGGGTGGTGGGACTGACTTTCTGCAATGTGGCCTACAAGGTCATACCAAGTTTTGGGTTGGAGTGATGTTGGGTGAAGTTAGATCTCTATAATCCCATCTGTTGAGGTGTGTGTACATGTTGGGGGGTGGTGGGGGAGGGTGAGGTGGAAAAGGAAGTGGGCTAGAAAAATCCTCTGCTACGCAAGAGGATTCCTTCTCTTAGCTCACCCAGGCTGTGTATTTCTTTTCAACAGTGATTAACCCTCCCTATTTAAGGCAAAAAATGTCCATCAAAACTGGGAATCACTAACTGATACTTGGAAGGAAAGGGGAGGAATCATAGTGAGATTGCATGGGCTGAATTTTCTCCTAAAAATTTACATGTCAAAGTTCTAATCCATAGTACCTCAGAATGTGACTGTATTTGGAGGGTCTTTAGAGAAGTAATTAAGCTAAAATGAGGTAATTGGGTAGGCTCTAATCCAATATGACTGGTGTTCTGACAAGCAGAGGAAGCATGCTGTATTATGGCATGAGTTTAATTTCATAAATATATATGTGACTGATTTTTTAAAACAGCAATTATATAAAAGTATTCACAGCCTCTTCCCCTTCTCTTCCCTGCCCCGTATGGAAAATTCTGATTTGTCTATTCCCACTCCTCTCAGTGCCTTGAACTCCAGCCTCACCATTGATATAGCTCAATGTTACGTGTGGTCCTCTAGGGAAAAGGGGTGGGGACCTGCTCTGTGTTGTTTTTAGAGACAGAAGGTAGGAGGAAGAGGGGGTGGGGAGCCACGAACCAGTGGTTAGGCTTGAGGAGCATGGGGAACATGAGAGGAGAGATGAGAGAAAATTTGGGTTGAGAAGGTTGAAATCTGGGAAAAACTGGGGAAAGGAAAATTTAAAAAGTGTTGTTGTAGGATATATTCTTTAATGTTTTCAGCAGAAGCAAATGAAGATTGGAATTATTTTTAGTTACTTGGTGTTTGGCTGTGTGGGACCCCAAACCTTATTGATTTTTATATATGTACAAAGAAAAAGACTGGAAAGAAAGAAACCAAAACATAAGCAGTGGTTAACTGTGCTGGTGGGATGATAGGGCATTGAGGTGTATGTGTGTTTGGAATAAAAACGTATTAATGGTGGGGGGTGGATTATTGCTTAAAATGGTATAAATAGTTTTCAATAGAGTGGTCTGGGCTGGCTAAATCAAAAAGGGATAAGGATGAATGGGGGTGATAAAGTGAGTTTAGATTAATTTCTCAAGAAGTCTGGCTATGAATAGAAGAGATGGACAAAACCTCAAAGAGGTGAGAACCCCAACACATTTTTGGAGAGAGGGGGCTTTTAGGGTGATGAGACCTGAACAGTTTGACAAATTAGATAACAAACACCTTGTAAGGGTATTTTGTTTTGAAACATTTTTGATAATTTGCATATCCTGGAGGTGGAGTGAATTTTATGATGTGGCCTTTCATTAGCTTTGAGGTGTTTATCTCTTGGTCCAAATTATACTGATTGAGAACTAAAAGGTGATTTTCCTCAGCTGAGGCTTCACTGGGTCAGGAGTCTGACTTTCCAGCACTCAAGAGATTAGGGATAGAGTAATAAGAAAGATAAATGTTAAAGGACTTTGACTGTTAAAAGATGAATGCTGATTGAGGAATGCTAATTGAAATCTGTAAAATCGCAGTTGGATACAGACTTGTTTGTTAAATTCTGAGATTCTAGAAGCTAGAGAACAGCACACGATGAACACAACTAGGTGTATTTCTTATATGAGATATTAATGGATTGAACTTCTTATGTCCACAGGCTGAATCTAAATACTCAAAGAGTTTGTATTAATTCTTCGACAATTGATTAAAACTCTGTTAAAAGAAAACTAAGGTTTTGGGGACACAGTCCCAATCTTCTTGGGAGGGTCTCAGAGGTGGCAGTAATTTGCATGTCCTGGAGGTGGAGAGCACCTCCCATTGATGCTCTCTTAGAGGAAACATTAGGTCAGTCTCAGGTCTTCAAATTCCCAGAGATGGCTCATGTGGGGAGTTGGCAAACCTGATGAATTATTTGATTTGGCCTGTGATAACTGAAGACATACCTACAATACAGGCTTCATCTGGGAAGGACTGTCAGATGGGCACCTAAATATAATTTTCTCATACTTCTTTGTCAAGTCTGGAGGATATATTTGGAAGGAGTTATAAGAGGGGAAAAGTGTTAAATGCAGACTGCTCTGGTTATTAGTGAAACAAAACTGGGAAGAGATATCAACTTGTCAAGAAGGTGTAAATGAAAGACAAAAGGATAAATGTAGCGAGAACAGCTAGGGTGTCAGGGCGGGGGAAACAGGCTGGCAGGTGACCTGGTTCTGAGAACAGCAGGAGGATAAGCTGCTACCTTGATGGAGCTGGTGTTCACAGAGTCAGTACTGAGTTCTGGGGCGCATTTGTCCCAATGTGTGCGAGCACACAGTCAAAATGAGCAGGGGAAATATTGGAGAAGAAACTCATTTGGTGGCTACTGTATAAAAAAGTATTTGAAGGAATTCAAAACAGGAGAAAGGCAACAAGCTCAAGGAGAAATGCAAAGCAAGTTTAGATGGAAAACATGGAGAAAGAGAGAGAAAACAAGTATGCTTGAGGGTCAACTAGAGAGCAAGCAGAAACTTCTGATGCAGTTATTTCGTTGCCTCCATATTAATGCAGGCTTTTTAAATGCAGGTGAAATAATGAACAAACATGCCCAAATGGCATACTCAACTCTCACCTATGATGGGACACTTCCATTTTCTTCTCTGTTCATTTCTATGTCATTTGTGTTTTTATAAATTATGTATTACTTTATAATGAGATGAAACCAGAAAAACTATCAGAACAAGGGTAGCTTCCATGAATAAACAACCTGTCCCCAAAAATAATCACTATAAAGGTGTGTATTTGTGTTAAATAAAATGTATCAATAGTAGTCACAGATAATAATAATATAATAAAAGGATATTACTGAGCATATTATAATCACACTCACATTTTCCTTAAAGGTTGGGTTTAAAACCTCACCCCCAACCCCAAATAAAATGATATAAAATAGGTGTGGCTCCACTGTTGCCCACACAACCACAAATGGACCTATGAAGATGGATTAAGGTTTTAGAGCTTAGATGACTGGTGTGGATGAGATGAGCAGGCAGGAGCACAGTCACTCTCCACTCCATCCCCTCTACCACTAATTGGATAGTTATCTTAAAGGCTCTATGATTTGAATTCCCAAACATCTACTTATGGACTTTTTCTATAATCCTACTTTCAGTCTAGCTCAATGGTTCTCAAATTTAGTGACATGGGAATTACTGTACAGGGTAGCATACCCAAACCCATGTATTCTATAATTTATTGGCAATTAAAGGAATTTTCAGAGGTACTTTTCTTTGTGCTTAATTTTTGTCTTCCTTGATGACTTTACAACCATCCTGTTCCTTTGTATATTATGACATTTGGCTATACTTGAGAGAACTGTTAGAAACTTAACTGGGGATTCCCTATGCCACCCAAAGAAAAGAAAACTTATTGTAGTCTAAATACCTTTTCAACTTTTCAAAACTAGTTTATAATAAATGCTTAATTTATTTAGCCTGACTATGAATCCTAACAAAGTATAGGTATCCATCCTTTATATTTTCTAATGGAAGATGAATTCCATTTATAAAGCAGCCAGATCTAATGATTAATCTAAAACAAATGAGAGAATGACCCTTATAACTCTACAAGAGAAATAGGAGAATTTTAGATATAATCCACTAAGGAATCAAGCAGATTCTTAGAGAATGAGCAGTGATTTTAGCTAAAAGGATTTATGGTCCTTTATGAGATGAGTGGGGAAGTACCTGGTCAAATGAGAGGTAAACAGATAAATGAGGATGGTCTTCCAGATGCATTCCTAGCACCGGAATATGGAGAGAAGGTTGTGAGATGGGATTGGATTAGGACCCCAGGTGAGACTCAAAGACAAGGTGAGGGCAGAGTACCCCTATCAGTTGTGCAAATTGTGCCCTGAACAAGGGCCCTGACAGGAAGGTGAAAAGGACAGGGCCTGAAAGCCTGGCCTTGTGTCTTGGCAGAGGACTGTGCCTATGGGGCTTGGGGTTGGAGCAGGGCCTGACTTTTTCCCTGTATGCTAATAGGTCAGTGGTGGCCTGGGGAGGGTGTCACACATTAAACTTCACACAAGTTTAAGGGTCAGCTTTTCAGACAAAATATCCTGGATAGTGATTTAAGTTGTTACCTCACATTTTCTTTTCCACTTGTAATGCCTCTGTTTCTGTCCCTGTTGAGGGTGGGGGTGAGTAGCAGTCAAGCAGGTACTTAGTTCTCTGAGATTTCCAAAATTAGGGAAGAGATGAAGCAGAGCAAGAAACCAAAAGTGACTATGAATTATTCTGGCGTTTGTTCTACGAAAAGTCTAAGCATTTAGGGGAAGGGGATTTGTAGTCATAGACAAAATGTGTTGGTAAACCAAAGGGAGGCAGCAGTGGGAAGGAAGAGTAGAGGGGGTGGAGGAGGGGGAGGGAGAGGGAAAAGTTGATAGATTTGTGTGGCCTTTGAATATAGATGGGACTCCAGCCTGTGAACTGGCAGCTCCCAGAAGGAGGGAACGGATGTGAAGCATATCCAGCACTACAGGTCAAGAAGTCGAGACCTGGCAGGATGGTAGCAGAACAATCAGCATCGTAAGACCACCTAGTGAGGGGGCACCAAGCAGCAAGGCCCAGCGCCTGCTCCTATGTTGCTATTGTTTAAGATCAGAGGATCCCAGGGAAGACTGAGAAGAAGTTGTTTTCTGCCACTTTGGCAGATGGGGACCTTGGAACAAAAAAAAAAAGATGAAAGAACAAATTTACCAGAGTATAAACTCTGATACGTATATGTACTATTTCTGCTTTAAGTGAATATATCAAAATGGCTGTATCAGAGTCATGGTTCTTGTCTCCCATGTGCCAGGTGCTGTGCAAAGCATGTTCACACCTGTTCTCTCATGTGATCTTCACAACAGCACTGCGTGGCACATGTCGTGATCACCCCAGTTTACAGGTGAAACACCGTGGCTCAAAGACACACTGGGTAAGTAGAAGGGAAGGGAAGCAAACCCAGGTCTGTTTTTCCTCCTGCACTATATACCTGTTAGTGATATGTACCTAAGTTGAGGGACACAGGGAATACACTGGGGTGCTCAGAAGGTTAAAAAAATAATAGAGCTCTGTTCAGTATAACATTGAGTCTGTCTCATTACTAAAAGCAGAGTATTTAAATAATATTGATGCGCAGAGGAAAAGCTCATTGGCCACTAGACCAAAAGGAGGAAACCCTTGGGCAAGGAATGGAAGTTCCTAGGTCTATGGAGAATGTGACGGCAATCTGTCACCACAATAGACTTAAAGAATCCAGCTCAGACAACAAGCCTCTCATCCCTATAGCAGAGCCCTCTTTTCAGATACATGTGTTGAATATGTTTCTATATTCTGTGGTAAGTTTAGATAAAAACAAACGCGCCTAAGAGCATGTTGATTTTTCCCACCAAATATTTATATTCAAGGTTCTGGATACTTGTTATGTTCCGACTCACAGAAGCAGGTTACCTGGTTAGGATCAGGATCAACTTCATCCCAGCTGTGAGTGACATGGCCTTGGTCAATGGATCCAAAGGGCTTGTGAGAAACTGAAGGTAGAATCCTATATAGCCAGCTGGTAGAAACAAGGACACGGAAACCTTAGGGTGATATTATGAGGAAGACACAGCCTGGCACAGGAAGTATCATCAGGAGGACGCCCAAGTCAGCAACGATCTGTGGGCTTTAATGTGAGAAGCAATGACAGTGTCACTTCTTAATAGCCACGGCTGCCCATGGCCCTGTCCTCTTCCCACCTTCCCACTCCACCCGTCACTCTTCAAACTGAGGCTCTAGCTCTTGGCTGTTCTTAAACTGACAAAAATAATGAAGTGTCTTTCCCAATGACAACTGTAAAGGAAGGAGAAGTACTTGGAAGGACATCATGCAGGAAAATCCATAGAAAAACATTAGCTTATATACATCAACAAGTACTAATCCTTGCTCTGGAAGATAAGGACAATGAATCCTATGCAGATTGAGAGATATGGGTGGGTTTTATGGGATACTTTTGAAATATAAATCAATGTTCTTTAAAATTATAAAAATAGTATTAGTCAGTGGTAAAAATAATTCAAGTAATTTAAAGTCCCCAAAAATGGCTTGTTCCTCCGGTTTCTTCAGGGTCAATCTTCAGAGGCATCAGAACTTTACAACTTTCTAATATATTCTCAGATATCTTCAATTATACAAGTAAAACTGCCAAATTGTTGTACCACTTTATTCTCATGACAATGGTGTGTGAGAGTGCCTGATTGCCCACATCTTCACAAATATGGGCTATTACTAATAATTGGCACTATAGGTAAAAATAGTATTTCATTTTTATTTTGTATTTATTAGGTTGAGAATCTGTATATATTGGTCCTTTGTAAGTTTTCTGAATTACTTGTACAAGTCCTTTACCATTTTTCTATTGGGTTGTCTTTTTTATGTTAATTTATAAGAAATTAACACTTCTGTACTCCAAAATTATAAGACTTAATCTGTCCATATTTTCTTATAGTACATATATGGCTTCTTTGTTTCCTTCCTTCCTTCCTTCCTCTTTCTTTCTTTTCGTCCTTCCTTCTTTCCTGCCTGCCCTCCTTTTTTTTCCTCTCTGTTCTTCTCTTTTCTTTCTTTTCACTATCTATATATGTCAAGGCTTGAGCCAAGGATCTCCAGGCCAGGACCTGGATCTCAGGCTTCAGGAAAAGAAGACTCTGGTGAAGGAGCCCAGAAGGACTTCAGGAGGAGAACCTTCTAGAAGTTGAGAGGGACACTGAAAATCACTAAGAGGGACCCCTGTCCTTTCAGAGTACATTACCCTGATGGTGAACAGAGGAAGAGGAACACTACTTCTGACAATGGAAAACCAGGCCTGCTTGAATGAGCTCTGGCCTTTTAAGCCCTAGGACAGTCTATTTCAGGGGGTGGAGATGGCCTGGCTCCACACTGAACCATTTGGGAGATAAAAAGACTAAATTTGTTCAGTTTCCATTTGATTCCTTCAGCTCTAGAGGATGTGGACTCAGACGCTGGACTTCAGGCTGTGAATAAACCAAGCATCTCCAGCTCCTAGAGGTATACCCAGCAGCACGTGCGTGACTCTTAGAACCAGCTGTGCGAGCCAGTGAAGGTCACGAACATTCCTTGATCCGATGTTCCTCATCCTGTTCCTGGGATTGTTGTGAGGATTCAGTTTATGTACCCAGATGGCTGGCACACAGTAAGTGTTTACTTATTAGATAATTGTTGAATTCTCAATCTTTCCCTAAGCATCAGGGTTTTTATGATGGTTCATGATGGTCCATATTTTCCACATTCCCTGTCCTGACTCTCACCTCAGGAATAAGCTACCTGATTTGATAAAACTTAATCCCTGTTAGATAGAATTCTGATGGTTTTGCGGGGGCCCTGTACTCTGTGGTTTAAATGAGTAGTGAGTAACTATGAATCCAGGTTTGCTCACTTATGGATGGGGCTGGTTCCATCTACTTATTGGGGATTTTGAGCATTTTCACAAAATTCTTGTGGATACCTTTGCACAGTTCTTAACAGATGGGTGAGCCATACCTAGTGTCCCTTGTTTTTTAGCTGAATTTATAAAACTTCCCAGGCAGCACTACATTGTCTTGGACAGAGATTTAATTCCAATACAGGGAATAGTGCCAGCTTCTTAATGAAATGTCAACAGCTCCTTTTCAGCCTCCTGGAATGGAGCTGAGCTCCTGCTGGCTGGAGATATTGCTGAATAATGTGGGCAGGCAGCAGGATCTGGAGTCCAGGTGTCCCATTAGTGAATGGGTCATAAAGTCAAGAACATAGTCTTGGAGGCCAGGCTGTCATAACAGAATGGACAGGGATTGTCTCTGTGCTTACTTTATCTTGACTATTTGGACTTGCATAGGGAAAGAGATGGTCAAATAGTAATAGGATTAACCCCTCATTTTTTGATAAGTATGGTAAACTATCTCTTCATCTCCCCATGCATGTATCAAGAGAGAAGCAATATTGACATTAACATGGTGGCATAGCCCCTGCCGTATCTCACACTCAATTCTCTGACAGCCTTACAGGGGTATTGTGTATTGGAGGGAGAAACTGCTTTGGTGGCAATAAAGATGATTATATTAATTAATATTAACTGAGCACTCACCGCGTGCCATGCTATCTGCTAAGCACTTTACATACATTATTTCCTTTAATCCTCACCATAACTATGAAATAGGTACTATTATTACCTCTTTTACAAATGAGGAGCTAGAGACTCTGAAAGGGCAGATGATTTGCTCAAGGTCACAGAGCTGGAACGAGATGGAGCCAGGATTTAAACTCAAGGGCCTGACTCCAGAATGGGCATGATTTACCATTAAGGGAAACAGTCTATCATTTATGTGTTCCATTGTGTTTTGTACTCACTGTCTCATTTGTTTCTCAGGAAGACTCTGCAGAGATAAACCCAGTTCCCTCCACTAAGCAGTACAAGACCTCCTGCCCCCTCTCTAAATCTCCAATATCAATAGCAGCCCTCTTCACAGATGCCCTAGCCTGAGATTCCTACAATTAGACAGTACTTGTTTAAGTCACAACGCTTAAACCACAACCCTGCTGTACCCAATCTGCCCATAGGAGTTAATCAAGGGAGCAAGTTCATTGACCTGGCTTGTAGGACTGGAGCAAACAGGGACCATGACACATTGTGCTAATGAATGTGCTGGTTTCCAGCAAAGGCAAATTCCAAAGAGTAAAAGCCTTATTAATTCAAACCACAAGGGACCATAATACATGACCTTTCAAATGCCCAAGCTTGGATTATCCGACATTTGCATGCAAAGAACATAATGTTTCTAATCATCTTGGGAAGATATTGCACTGAGTCTTCTACAATTTTGAGTCCATGCTTATTAAAAACAACAACAATATGTAAACCAAAACCCAAAACTCAATCAGACAATCCTTACGGTAAGGACAGATTATTGGGGACATTTTCTTCAGAGTACAAATGAGAATTTGTAAATGGAGCTGAATATCCGTTTTCCAGGCTGTGCAGCTGCTCTCTCACTTTCTCCCACCAGTCACTCGGTTCTAGCTGGACACGAGGTCCGTCCTCCCCTGAGTCCAACACAGAGCATAGCCTGTGAAAAGCAGGATCTTGGGCAGCCCTGAGAGGCTGTGGCCCAGGTGCAGGAGGTAACACTAAGTACTAGTCGTGACTCCCACAGTCTGCTTGTCAGAATTAACCATTACCCTGGTACCTTCTCTTATTGGTGCTCCGTGGACAAGTGAAAGCTGATCCTGAGAGCTGCTCAGCATACAGATTGTAGGGGCAGACTTGAGGATTATTCTAGAACAAAGGAGGCAATAAATAACATTCCAGGTCAGAAAATCATCCCACCTTCCCAATAAGCAACTCAGCTGAGGAATTTTGTCTTGGATGGAGATACTCTGAGCCACTGCATATGACCTCAACCCATGTATATTTCTTGTAATAACTCTTTAGGTGACTCTTCTCCCTGATGAAGAAATAAAATATAGAATATAACCCATTATCTCACCATCCAGAAGTAACCCAATGTTGACATACCAATATATTTTTTTCCATTCTTATCTTCCAAAATGGGGATCCTATGGGACTTGTAGTTCTGTAATAATGTGGACTATTTTTTAAAGAGGAAACACTGTATCAAAGACCATTTTTTCATGCCATGAAAAATTCTTCAAATTATCTTGAAAAAATTTTTTTTCCTTTGTAACCAACATTAGTGTGGACATCTTTGGGCATACATTTTTTTTTTTTTAGTATACATACATTTTCTCATCATTTTTATATCTAATACTGTTCAAAGGAACTACAAGGAAGTCCCGTTAAGCCTGAACTTAGAGGATCCTCCTCAAAGTCCTGTAGTTAATCTTACCAATTTGGATTGGGTTGTTTGCCTTAGGTAACTACCACCCAACTTTAATCTTTGTATTGTCATTGTTATGTATCCCAATTGTCTTAATGATTTGTGATATTAAACAGTTCACAGGATAAATTACAAGAGCCAAGGTAGGTGGAGGTGCTTTGGCCTGAGGGCTGATCATTCATTTCTACAATTCAGAGCTCTCTAAGCTAAGATTCTATTCACTCATACCTGTCCTTCTGGCAGGGCTCCTGGACAACGAGGGTCCTCTGAGGCACACTCGTTCCCAAATCCAGAAATGTACTGCATGTGACAAAGACACAAAGGCCACCATTAATGAGATTTAAAGAGCATTTCTCAACATTAACAGTCTACAAAGGTAAGAATTTCCTTATAGAATGTTTGTGTATGATGTTCCATACATAATATCTCTGCAATGTCTTGGCATGTGAAACATGTAGGAAAGATAATATGCTCTCTGTGAATTTTAAAGACTGGCAATTAATTGGGAGAAGAACACTGTGTATTGCTTACACTCTCCACCCTTGGCTGTATTTAGTCAATCTATGTACTTGTTCTTAATTATTGCACTCCAAAAATAGATTCTTTAATTTTGACTCTATCAGGGAGATCCTGAGATGGGAGATGGTTCAGATATTACCTCAACTCTAGATTAGTAGGAACTTCCTGGGCCTCCTAGACTGTAACCTCCCTGAGTTTGGAGCTCTATTCCCTCTCCATTCTCTGAAATGAGCAACTATAAAGAGGTATGTGGATCCAACCTGACTGAAGTGCCCTTGAGAGAAAGCTTTTCAAACCAGCCTTGCTGTAGGAATACGCCTACCTTACCTGGCTTATCTATGGAGTGTTTGTATACATGTTTGTATCCATTGTGGATACGGGAAAATGAAGCTTGAAGGTATGGTGGCTTCTGGGAGAAGTGCCAGACCAGAATCTGTTCACATTGGTACAAGAGAGTCTATTCTGATTACCCTCTGTTTACACCCAAAGAAAAACAAGTTGGCAGTGTCTCAACAAAGTAAAGTATGTGGAGCCCCTAACACTTACCCCTACAACACATAACCCACCTGTGAGTTCTTGTTCACTGTCGGGCTTATCTGCTAGTTTATAAGCCCCACGATGTCTGGGACTGGCAGCGTTGTTTCATCTGTATGCTCTGTGCCTGGCCTATTGAAGGTACTTGGCAGATACCTACTGTTTGATTTAGCATTTCACCTACAGCCTATTCTAATAGGAATGCATTTAAGTGAGTTAGAACCCCTTTTCTCTAACTTAAATATGGAAAAAATTATGGCCATTTTCTTCCCATAGTTGTTCCTAATAAATGTACTTAATTTTAGCCTAGGATAATGAAAGTATGGTCTCACTCAGCGAGTGAAATGCCACCATCCGAGGACATGTCTGTAGGAGATGTGGGAAGGACGTCAGTGGGTAGAGGGCGAGCCCTAGGAGTTCTCACCCGCTCGGAGAGGACGAGCTTGATGCAGCGGGCCTGAATGTATGGGGGATGACCAGGCCAACAGCTCTCTCAGTTTGGAAGGAATTTGAAAAGGGAAATTATTCTTTTTGCCAACAGACACAATTTTGGGGGTATATTTGAAAATCCATCAGCACTAAAAACACAGAGTTCTATTATACAGAGATTGCAGCATGCAGGTTGGAATGATTGCTTTGGGGAAGTGGCAGAGACTATCCCGCATTCCGACTCTCCACTGAAAACAATTTTCTTCCTTCTAAATGAACCTCATGCCCACCGTCAACATGATTGAATCTGAGCTGCTTAGAAACGGTAATGACCCCAAATTATCTTCAGTTGTGGGGAATGGAATTTCAGGCCACTGTGTGACTGCAGCCACTGGGTATTAGAGGGCCTTCGCTTTGTTCAGCTGCAGCATTGTTTCTCCCCGCGAGAGAGGCGGGCGGTCGGAGCGCGAGGAGCACAGCTGGGCTTTCTGGCAGGCACCGGTGGGCTTACTCATTAACCTTCCTCATTCTTTGCAACTGCAGGCCTCAGCACAGAGTCCAGGGTTATATGTGTGTTTGGAACGAAGGGAAAGAGACTTAATATATGTAGTTCTGAAGCATTTGCTTCTGACTGCTTTAAGAAATAGGAAAGAAAGTCAAAAGAACAGCTGGTGGCTTGGAAGGGAGCCACCCAACTCTGAGAGGTGTGAGTTCTGAACCGGTTTCTCAATCTTAGCTGTGGTGCATTGGCTGAAGAGGAAGGTGGAAACTGCTGAGTCACTCTCAGCGACCTTGTTGGTTTTCCTAATCCTGTGGGAGAGACATTACAGATGAGTTTATTCAAGCTTTAAAGTGCCGTGTCCCTCAATGCTGAAGCTATCAGACTAGAGGAAGCAATATGCTGCAGCTGCTTCCCCAAGGCTCTGACGTCAAGGACAGAATGTGAACTCTGCTTATATCAGCTGTGAAAATCTAAGCATTCAACTCCAGCTGGCTCAGGAACTATGTACAAATATACCATATATATATATATAAATAAAATCTAACATTAAGCAAGTGTGGCTATATATTTTCTTCTGTCCAGACTTCTGAATAATTTGATACAACAAGAAAATATGATTTCATTTATTTGCAAGAGAATTATATGCATCCTTTCTAAATGAATGAACAAATCGCTGAGCTCCATGTAACTCTGGTACCACCAGTTGATTGGCAGCTCCCCAGTAGAGACCTTTTTAATTCTCACTTGGTCCCAAAGATATGATTTATTGTCAGAGTAGTTTTAAGAGGTGCTTTCTCCTAACTTTAATTCTAGTAACACCCCAGTGGGATGAGAAGATGGTACTCCTTACTTCCTTTTACTGGGCATGCAGTAAAGAGAGAGAAGTCAGAGCAGAGATGGAACTACACTATCTTTTGTCCTGTGGAGAGTCTAGTATTTCCAATTAACCTTGTTGGGAACATAGCATACAGATTGTTAGGGGAACTTGCAGATTATTGCGGTAGGTTGTATAATAACTCTCAGAGATATCTTTGTCTTAATCCCTGGAATTTGTGAGTGTTACCTTATATAGCAATAGAGACTTTACAGGTGTGATTAAGGATCTTAGATGGGGAGAAATCCTGGATTATTTGGGTGCACCCTACAGAAAAGGCGATGTGATGATGGAAGGAGAGATCGGAGTGATGCGCCTTGAAGATGCAGAAAGGGCCATATGTTCTGGAATGTGGGCAACCTCTAAAAGCTGGAAAAGACAGGGAAATGGATTTCCCTTTGAGTCTCCAAAAGGAGCCAGCCTTGCCAATGCCTTGACTTCAGCCCAGTGAAACTGATTTCAGAGTTTGACTTCCAGAACTGTAAGAGAATAAATATGTGGTGTTTTAAGCCACTCAATTTGTGGTAATTTATTATAGCACAAACAGGAAGCTAATACAATAGTTATGTAGAATTGTTAGAATCACCCCAGAAGTTTGTTAAATACAGACCCAGACCTAGTGAATCTAAATATTTGGTGGTGGGGCCCAAAGTCTGCATGTTAAACAGCTCTTCATTTTAGAAATGAGGAAATCAACACTTGTAGAAGTGAAGCAATTTAAGAACATAGGGTGGTCTATTTTAAATTTAATTATTTTATCATTCCAATTTTCTTCCTCCAATTGTGCTGCTCTTATGTAAACATGATCCCATTTAAGGCTTTGTGTTGACATATCCATTCAAATGAAGAAATGAAAGCTGAGAAATATTTTTTTAACTCATATAATTTTTATTGATTAGAATGATGCAATCTGGCTTTCTGTGTTTGGATTTCTCATCTTTAGAGCTAACCTTTCCTTGGGGAGATTAGACAGCAGGCTGAGAAGGACACCTTTGAAATTGAGAACAAAGACCAGCATGCAATTTACATTGGTGTGAGGGTGCTGTGCATAATGAGTTGCTTAAAAATTTCAGTGTGCCAGGATTTTAGATATAATTTATTTATAAATGGTAAGGATGTTTCCAACCCCTGCTGAACACCCCATAGGATTTTCATCAGGAAACAATGTTTTTATGCACTCTCCCTCTTCCAAGACTTCAGCTATCACCACTGATGACTTCCCATATCTATTCTCCTAGCCCTTCCCACTCCCCCAAGATCCAGATCCATACATCCAACCCCCTCCTGGTATCTCAACTTGGCTGTTCCTGCAGCAATTCATATTTACACAGTTTACACAGGAGACACACTCTTGGACCCCAGAACATGCAGGTTGTGGGCTGTGCCTCTGCATTTGTCGTTTCCTCTGGCCCCCATGCCTTTTCACTTAACCAATTTCTACTTCTCTTAAGACTCAGCTTAGGAACTGCCTCCTTCAAGAAGTTTCTCTTGACCCCACCTACCTCAGATGCAGTTCCTTTTCGATATTAATCTGTGGCATCATTTGCTAACACATAATATTTGCTGAATGAAAGAAGGAGAGTTCTTTCTCAGGCTTTCTAACTACCCATCAGGCAAAAAGATAGAGAAACAGACTCCATCAGTGCTGTTTTCAGGATCCCTATAAATTAGGGAAATGTTTCATTTTTCAAACTCAGCATCAGTTGAAGGACATTAGAGAGGTGCTCAAACCCTGCATTCTGGGAAAAAGCCTGGAGTCTGGTCCACTTGGCTTGAGTCAAGGTTCTGAGCAATTCTACTTGCTTTCACATGCATCTGCTGGGCAGTGATACATGCCTGTGTTAGACACTAGGCACAGTTTTAGACACTGGGGACATACTCCCTTTCCCTGGCCTTAAGGCACTCAGTCTAGTGGATGTCACTCAGGCTCATTTGGAGAACTCATGCTTATCTCCTCAGTCCTGACTCAGACTGAGAAAGAACAGGACAGAGTGTTCACTCTCTGGAGAGGAATGAGAAAATTAATTGTGCTCTGACACAGGTGTTCACAGATAGCTGCCTGGTTTCAGAAAAACCCAGATTCTAATCGAGTCTCCATTCCTTTTACCAGTGACCTTGGGCAAGTCACTTAATTACTCTTTACTTTCCTTACTGATTATATGGGAACAAAAGTTCTTACATCCCAGCTTTATTTTGAAGATTACAATATGAATTAATTCATTAATAGCACATTACCCACACATACTTTTCAATTGCACATTAAATAATAAAAAGGAATTATTTCTTAGAGGAAGTACTAGGGCTTCTACTAGCCAAGGGCTGATTGTGAGCCTCAAAATAACTGAATAGATTAAACATATCTAACTGGACGGCTGGATGCAGTCCAGGAAGCTGCAGCAAAAGGAAGGAGTCAGAGAGTGGAGGCTGGGGAACAGGCATGGTGAGACGTGTGTCTGCCTGTGATGGAGGGTAGCTCTTATGGTGTCTACAGATTCCCAAGAAAGTATTTGAAATGAACAAAGGCAAGATAGGAACATCATATAAGACCTTTCTCTCTTTTCTTTAACAAGTCTCCCTCATGCCCCCAGCCCCAACCATGGCTATAGACACCATGGCGAAGCCCCTGAGCACAGGTGTCTGGGCCAGGGCCTCTCTCAGTCCTTTCCAACCCTGACACTCTGGAATTCTCAGAAGCTCCATACATTCTGGCTGAGAACTTGCCAGATAGTCTCTTACCTTCAACTCAGCCATATTCCTTCTGCAACAAGTGTGACGACTTTAGGAAACCCAGAAACAGAGAGGATATGAAGCCCAAATACTTTTGTTTTCCTTCAAACCACTCTCTGGGATTGTTAGTCCCACTGCGTCAGTGTGCTCCCGAGTCAGCAGGTCACTGAAACTAGCCACAAACATTAACTAACCAGTAGATACACTAGGGAGAAAGTCCAGCAGGCTTCTTGCCAAACTGCTTACACAATTGCCTTTGTTTTTTGCTAAACTCAGGCTGTCTCTGGAAGAGTTTGCAGGGGCCTGTCTCCTCCTCACCTGAATTAAAGATTAGGCAATAATTTGTTTCAGTTAAAAGAAGGAGGCTTATTACTAAAGACATAGAATGTAAAGCTCTCTAGGAAAGGAACTGTTGTAGTTAGTGCCTGCTGTGTGTGGCAGAGGCTTCTCCACTCAGTCCTGACTCAGGCTGGGAAAGAACAGGGCAGAGTGTTCACTCTGGAGACAAATGAGAAAATTAATTGTGCTCTGACACAGGTGTTCGGATAGCTGCCTCAAACAGGGACCGGGTCTGACAACTCTTCATAGGTGTCTCCCAGGGATGAGCTGTGTGAAGCCTGAAGAGAACACAGTCTGAGATGTTTATTATTGTCCCTCTTAATTTCTTAAATGTATTTAGTGTTCTTATAAATTCTCTAAGAATCTTGTTTCCTAATGCCTTTATCCCTTTAAAAATGGACCAAGGGATTACTTTTCAGCCACCTTTCTTAGGACTCTCTTGTCCTTCATCTTGGCTATTCTTCTTAGCTGTGGTCAGGTATCCACTTCATGGCTAATTGTATTACGGAAAGAAGAGACCATATATTCAGTGCCTGTTCATGCCAGATTTTTCCATAGATGTTACCTCATTTAATTTCTCAAAAACAATCTTGTAAACTAGGCTTTACTGTCACAAATTCAGCTTCAACAGGCAAGGCAGGATATGTGAATGGTTAGAGTAGGCTAATTGTTTCTGTTCAGATAAGACTTACATGAAGTACCAATTTTTAAAATAAAAATATCATTGCTATACAATCTTATATTGCTTTCAAATACATAACACAGTGGTTCAACAATTACCCATAATCAAGTCCTCACCCCTACTATCAACATAGTAAGATGTTACAGAATCATTAACTGTATTCTCTGTGCTGTACTACTGCCCCCATGATCAACCTATGTTGTGACTGTAAATTACTGGGCCCCTTAATCCCCTTCCCCCTCTCACCCTATCCTCCCCAGTCTCTCCCCTTTGGTAACCACTAGTCCCTTCCTAGTGTCTATGAGTCTGCTGCTATTTTGTTCATGAAGGGCCAATTTTTAAACATTGGAAATGAGAACAAATGAATGAATGAACGAATGAAACTAGTGTGGTAGATTGTAACAAATGCCCACAATTTCCTCCCATCCTTGTATGCATGACCCTTTGCAGTGTGACTTTGCTGAGATGAAATTTTTCTCACCTCCTTGAATTTTAATTTGGCTAATAGCAAACATGACACAAGAGAGGCTTGAGAAGTGCTTGTGCCTTAGGATTTGTCCATTTCTTGCTACTTGAGATCACCATGCAATGAAATGGGTTAGCCTCTTTGAGAATGAAAGACCACATGTCAGGCAACAGCCTAGCACTAATTTCCTGACTTGTGAATGAGGCAGTCTGGCTGCCAGATGCCTGCAGACACATGAGTGATCCCAGGTGAGACCCGCACAGGTGCCCGCTAAACCTAGCCCAACTGCTGACCCACAGGACTGTGAGCAACCGGAATGCTGTGCTTTATGCTACTAAGTTTTTTTTTTAATTGAAGTATAGTTGATATACAATCTTACATTGGTTTCAAGTATACAACACAGTGGTACAACAGTTTACCCACATTATTAAATCCTCACCCCCACTAGTGCAGTTACTATCTGTCAACATAGGAAGATGTTACAGAATCACTGAGTTATGTTCTCCATGCTGCACTTCCATCCCTGTGACCAACTTATATTATGGTTGAGAATTTTTGTGCCCTTTATCCCCTTCACACTCCCTACCCTCCTACCCCAACCCCTCCCCCATGGTAACCACCAGTCACTTTGTGTCTCTGGGTCTACTGCTGTTTTATTCATTTTGTTTTGCTTTGTTTTTATATTCCACAAATAAGTGAAATCATATGTTATTTATCTTTCTCCACCTGGCTTATTTCACTGAGCCTAATACCCTCTAGGTCCATCCATTGTCCTGCAAATGGCAGGCTTTTTTTTTTAATGCTGAGCAATATTCCATTGTGTATGTGTACCACATCTTCTTTATCTGTTCATCTGTTGATGGACACTTAGGTTGCTTCCATATCTTGGCTACTGTAAATAGTGCAGTGATAAACATAGGGGTGCATATGTTCTTTTGAATCAGGGATTTTTGTTTTCTTTAGGTAAATTTCTAGAGGTGGAATCACTGGGTCATATGGTATTCCTATTTTTAGTTTTTTGAGGAGCCTCCATACTGACAGTGGCTGCACCATTTGCATTCCAACCAACAGTGTAGAATGGTACCCATTTCTCCACATCCTCGTCAACACTTGTTATTTCTTGTCTTTTTGTTACTAGCCATTATGACTGGTGTGAGGTGATATTTTTTTGTGGTTTGATTTGCATTTCCCTGATGGTTAGTGATGTGAAGCATCTTTTCATGAGACTGTTGGCCATCTGTATGTCTTTTTTGTAGAAGAGTCTGTTTATGCTACCAAGTTTTGGGGTGGTCTATTAAGCAGTGAGAGATAACTCATACTATAATTGTCATAAAACAGGCATGCAGGTTTGAAATGGCTATGAGCTGCCAGTTTCCACTCCTTGCTTTAGATAAACAAGTCTAAGAGACCTCCAGAGGTTCCCCACACTCTTTAGTAACAGCAGAATGATTTGCCTGTGTATGAGGTGTTACCACAGGCCAGATTGAAAGGGGCCATTTCAGCAGAAACAAGTGACAGGTTGGTAGCAAACTGGGTAAACTGATGCCTGCAGACTACAGACAACTTATAGAGCATCTCAGCATATGTCAGCATAGACATGACATTGTATTGTTACATAAACTTCCCTTGAATTTATATGCAAACCTGGGAGAAGGGGTGGTGTAGATACCAGCTTTACTGAGACAAAGTTCTTATTAGAACTGCAATATGCAGACTCATAATCAAAAGTGAATTACAAAAAATACTTCTGGCATCTGAATGTAATGTATGAGTACATTGAGTCTTGAATCTCTATTGATCCTAGAAGTTATTCTTTGGTGGCTAGGAAAAAAAAATGTATGGGAGGCAATAAAACACAAAGAAAAAGCTTTTTTGCTGTATTTTTCCATGAACTTCTTATGCTCTTTCATTGAATCAGATCTGAAAGCAGGTTTCAGAGGTGTTTAAGTTCTCTCCTAAGATCTGAGATTTCTGAAAGAGTAAGGAAGTAATAACAGATCCTTGACTGGATGAAAATTACTTTGAGGGGCATGAAAATATTTAAAATTGAATAAACCTATCACCAAATAATAGAGATTCCTCCTAAGTGGATTAACTTTATGTCTTTTTCTGTTTTTATAACAATTCAATAAAACAAGAATTTCCTTTGTAACTACATGCCAGGCACTGTGTTTTATACATACAGGGAATATGAGCATAAATAAAACACAGGAACAGAGAGTTCTGATTTTGTTTGATGGCTTTCCATTTTCCAAAATCAGTGTAACTGCACAATGTAATTAATGTAATTACACACTCATTTATTTTATAATTATTGAGGACATGCCACGTGCCAGACACTGTGGGGGATAGAAAGATGACTAAGACAGTTCTCTTTTCCAGGAGGGCAGCGTACTGGAAAGACTGACCAATAAAGGGCCAATTACAATAGTGCCGAATGTGCTGTCAGAGAAGAGGCAGGGTGCTATGGCCCTAACAGGGAGGGTAGGCTTCCTAAAGGATGATGTCTGAGCCAAGTCACACAGAACGAGTTGGATAGGGTACTGAACAGAGGGAAGAGTGTGTACAGAGAAGTGGAAGTGCAGCGCATTCAAAGAACAAGACAGTGACTGATGTAGCTGAGTGGAGGGGTAGTCTTCTGGTGAGGGAAGGCTTTCCAGAAGGGGAGAGTTTTGGCATACACTTGAAGCAGGGGAACGGGAACTTCTGGGCAGCGTGTGCCTTCTAGCACTCAAAGACTCCAGTAGAAGGAGCAGGTTGCGTGTAGGGTGAGGCAAGCATTCTAGACCAGAACACAGTCACAATATCAAATTGGTCAGCAATAAAAACAGAGATGCTAAAACCCAGGCAGAGGAGGCTGCATTCAGTGAAGTGATATGGGGAACATTTAAGGTGGAGAATTGGAAAAGGAGCAGGAATTGGCGACACCAGGTATCTGTTTCTCTAAGACACCAGCACAAGATAGGTTTACTGTCCACAGAAGCTCTGGAAGAAAAGTCAGACGAGTTCCATACTCACAAACACCAGGGAGTGGGGAGTAGGATGAAAACCAAGTGTACTAAGGATGAAACTGCCAGTCTTCTTCTCCCACTGCACTTCCAGGACGCTATCAGCAACTGTTTTTACCCGTGGGTTCTTCTCTAGGACAGTGACCTGCAACTACTATACATTTTGATAAATAATTATTAAATATAAAAGATAAAAGTCTTTCTAGAAATGCTTTCTTTATTGAGATGGATGGCTCCTCCTCCTATTAACTCATATATCCATGAATTAAGTGATTCTTATTTCTAGAATGAGACATGATGCAGCATCATTTAATCCTCTGTTTTGCTTACACTGACATATAAGTGTTGAGAAAATTTGTTCATATAAATAGATATGAATGGAAGGCATTTTGTTATGGTGTCACTCTCCCGAATTAAATACCAAAATCACATATTGATCTATCACTAGACATTATTTTTAATATCAGTAAATAGCTCAATTGGTTCTTAATTTTGTTCCAAGGAAATAATTGGAAACCAGATTGGAAAAGTCTTTGTTACTCAGCTATTAGAACCATGGACTTTTAACTGTTACCCTTTCACTTACAGGTGCTTTGTCTCATTTACTTAGGAAGGGTTGAGAAAATAACGCTTTCATTTTATAATTAATTTAACTTTGTTAATTTATAGTCTTTGCCTGTATAATTATATAATTATTTTTGATAAAAATGTTAGTTTGGTATTTTAGTAGGCTAAGCAAGAAGCCTTGCAGTGAAAGAATGTGCCACAGCCTATTTCTTACCAAAGCTCTCTTTGCTTTGTTTTCAGGAACTCTTCATTTAGTGCCCTGCATTAAATTGTGGAAAGTGGAAGAAAGTCCTTAAGTAAAACTAATATTTTGTTGGCATCCTGAAGACATTCACACCCTGGGGTGACATGCCTTATTTCCATTTTACTATAGGTAAGAATTTCCTTTTTCTGTAGTGGGAAAAGGACTGTGAAAAGAGAGGTGGGAGATAACAACTAGCATTAAGCTGCATTCACAAGCTGATCAGTTTTAACATGTATTTAGGAATTGATCTGGAACACGATTCCCTTAAAACAGTGCCCATGTACCTCTTGGAGGGGATATTTGTACCTATCCCTGTTGGAAGACTATTGATCCACAACAAGAAAGTAGAAAACATCCAGGAAGCTGGCGGCTGCCACAGGGGATGTGGAGGAGAGTGTGACAGTTTTACAGAGCAATCACTCCAGAATGGAGTTAGAGGATGGAGGACCCCAGGACTAATGCCTCTGGGAAAAACACGGAACTACACGGAACTGTTAGATTACCTGATACACTTGATGGTACTGAGCATGATTTTACATTTTTGTTGGGATTTTAGGGGTTTAATTCTTCATCATTGCTTACTGATAACCTTGGTAAAGCTTAGTAGTTAGCTAGTTGAGAAAATAAATGTGGTACAAAAGAAGGTAGATTATTAGAAATAGATACACCTGGAGGGTAGGAAATAGTAGTAGCACATCAAAGGCAGACAGTCCTTGTGTTGCCCACGTAGGGTGTGACAACCACTGGATTGCTGTGGCATGTACAGCCCTGAGAGGGAGGGATGGCTCAGCTCATTAAAAGGCATGCAGAGGAAGCCAAATATTAACTTTGATATAAAGGTGTCATAAAGTACAGCCTACAGTCCATGTATTCTCTAGTGTTTGGTGAGCTTATGTTTTTCAGAGCGTGAATCCTGGACTATTGCATCAGAATCACCTTGCTTGCTTGTTAAAAACACAAAATCCTGGCCCTATCCCAAACACAGCATTGAAGGGGGCCCATGAAATCCTAGAATCTGCATTTAAACAGGCACTTCAGAGGATTTTTATGCACTTTGAGTTTGAAAGCCATTGCTTCAAGTTTTAAATGGAGGTGCTGACTGACTAGCTGGAAATCAGATCCCTTCTCCACTCCACGGAGCAGCCCTGGCATGCTCCAGCTCCAATTTTGCATTAAGTAAACACATTGTCGAGCATTTGAGGCTCAGGATTCTCCCATGGCTAGATTTCCTGGAACCCTTCCTGTCCTACTACACTGATTTAACTCAGTTTTGGGACTACAGAGAAGTGAATTTTTTATTTCCTTCTCCTTTCCTCAAACTGTATCCTCCCTCAAACTTTGACAGTAAATCAGTGCAGACACCCTGTTGTAGCTTCAAACTTCTAAGAATTTGAAAATTCCAATTAAACCTTTATTAATATCTATATAAGACCCTTCCTAGGTGGATACTACAAAACACATTATTGAAATGAAGATGCAAAAGCTTTGATTATGGCGGGCAGTAAGTCCTCTTTACCCCACTCTGATGTCCCAGCAGATCAGGTCCATGCAACCTGCCTTCAGAATGGACAGAAAAATAGCAGTGTCGAGATACTTGGATTATATCACCGCTGCCTCAAGGTGAGGGACTCCTGAGAACCTGAGATAAAGCTGGTTTGGATCAACCCCTTTGGAAGCAGTTTTTCTTCTTAGAGCATTAAGGTGGACAGACCAACCCCAGTCCTTTAGGTGGATTCCAACTAAGGGTCTTGCCACCCAAGGGACAGTTGAGTGGCCATATGCCTTCACATCTGGTTGCCTCCACAATGAGTAAGAACACTGGTTAGACATCAAAATGACAACAGAAAAAAAAAAACCTGTATAACTTGTTCCATCAAGAATGTAAAAAAAAATTAAGATTTAATTAACAGCTCTTAGGAAGTATTTTGGTCTTTATATTTGTTTATTACTGAAAATCAATTTTTATAAGCAGGTCTCAGAAGTTTTAGAAAAATGCTTCAAAGCATTCTTTTTGAAGAACTCTGGCTAAAAACATTCACTTAGGAAAACAGTCTTATTTTGCTGCTACTAATACTTGCAACAAACTTACCTTAGATTATTAAAAATGATTTTCCTTAGAAAACTATACAGGCATACCCGAAAGACACTGTGGGTTTGGTTCCAGACCACAATAAAGCAAGTATCACAATAAAGGGAGTCAAATGAATTTTTTGTTTCCCACTGAATATATGTTATTGCACAAAAGTAGTCTATTAAGTGTGCAATAGCATTGTCTAAAAAAACTATGTACATACCTTAATTAAAAAATACTTTGTTGCTAAAAAAGGCTATACTGCAGATCATGATAACAAATATAATAGTGAAAATGAAAATGTTAGAAATGATGCAGAAATTACCAAAATGTGACAGAGACATGAAGTGAGCAAATGTTGCTGGAAAAATGGTACTGATAGACTTGCTAGATGCCAGTTGCCACCAGCCTTCAATTTGTAAAAAATGCAGTGTCTGTGGAACGCTATAAATCAAAATGCAATAAAACAAGGTATGCCTGGAGCTAAAATGGAGTTGAGAAGTACTCTTAATTTTTCAAGGTTGAACGTGAAGCAATCAGTGATGGCTTACTTTTATTTTTTAATAAGGGAGAAAATAAGGAAATTGGGATAGATTTTTTTTTTAATTAAAGGAAAGAAGAGGAATAAAGGGGAGGAAAGGAAAAGGTCATTGATTTTTTTTTTTGCTTTTGCATTATTTTTGTAATCTAAGTATAACTTCTTTGCAATTTATTTTTCAAAAGAGGAATACAAGGAGCTTGTGTGGGTTTACGTCTATGTGTATATGCATTGGTTTTCACTTCCCACCTGCACAGCCTCTGTCAAAACACCCTTGTCCCAAATTCCACATGTGGATCCTGATTTGCATAGCTCTTCTTTATGTCAAAAAAGAAATTGAGGTCAAATTTTGTGGGGGAGGATGCAAAGAAAACCTGGAGAATATTTTAGCTGATGAAAAGTGCTTTTAAAAATCTATTCCAAATTCCCAAGACTGCCTTTCTAAAAGCATTAACATTCTAACTTTAATAACCTCTTTTAGCATACCTTGATTTCCAAAGTGCTTCTGAAATTTAATTAAAATCGTATATAGAATGTGAATTTAGTTTTAAAATGGAAACTGCAACTGTGTAGTCATTATTACTATTTTTTAATATGGAGCAAAATTCGTAGTGCAGAGACCTGCAGCAGACCCAGAAAGAAGATGGGTGAAAAGGTGGTGAATAAGGCAGCAAATGAGTTTTTGTAAACCAGCTTTACATATTAAAGAAGAACTAGGGCAGAGATTTAAACAAGCAAAAAAGATGGGTTAAAAAAAGTAATGAAGAACAATGATGCATTTTATAGACACACCACCCCCAGAAAACTTTGGATTAAGAAATCCAAGAATCCTAGTCCATAATTCATGTAAATGTGTTGCCATGGAACCTCCTTTAATTCTCCATAATTACTCTGTTGACACTTAGTTTACTAACTACAGTTAAGAGACATTTCAGGAGTTGAGTTTTTCCTTCAAAAATAAGAGCCCCCCGCCCAAATCCCTGAAGACGCTGTAAATGTCTCTTACTGCCCTTGTGCAGGTCTTAGATTTCACCCTATTTCCAAACAGAAAACAGTGAGAGAGTGCAGACAGCTGTAACCTAAAGAGTGAAGGACTTAGCGAGCTGTCAGTTTCTCACACAATAATTCTTTTCTGGTACTGCTATTCTCTATGTATTATTAATCTATTTATATTTAACTCCAGCTATTAGTCTGCCTCTTCCAGCCACTGAGCCATTTGCAAAGGAGAGGAGAGGGAGACGAGGGTGGCTATTATTAGGCATCCTTGTGTGTGATGAGGATGGAGACAATTAAATAACACCATTTTGCTTCTCTGAAAATGACAGGGACTGTTTGGGGTGGACAACTCAGGGCTGGTTAACATAACCTTTCCCCTCACAAAGGTAAAACAAAAGAGATATATTTTAGAAGTACTTAATTAAGCCTTCAGCAAGGAGTGTGGGAAAATTACAGACCCATAGAAACCTTCCAGTTCCAGGCCAGAGCACATTTTCTCTGCAGCACTCCTGTCACTGCTCATTTACTGCATCACTCTGACAACATCTCATATTTCCACAAGGCTTTTACATAATCTAGAAACAGGGACAGAAAGGTCAGGAACAGAGAGAATGGGGACAACGTCTGGACCTCCCACACTGTCACTTCCTTTCAGTTTTCCACTAAACGGTGAGGCTGAAGGGTGTCATATTAAGATGACTTCATTAAAAGGCTGAGACATTAATAATCGACACAGCAAGAAGAAAGCTGTAAAAAACCGTCACTGCTTGCTCATCTCCCAAAGGATGAGTGTAATTCAGTCGTAATGAAGACTCTTTAATGTTCCTCCCCCAAACCTTTTCCGATCAGGGAAGCCTGGAACCTGTAGGCAGGAAAGATAATCCTGTTAAGCAGGCAGAGTTCAAATGCTAATAGCTTTTAATTTTTTCACCTTATTTTCTGTTTCTTTATGTCAGTTCATCGTTCCTTAAAGAGCTATCTCTGAGTTCTTCTTCAGATTCAATAATAAAAACAAATTCCATCAAAAAGGAAAACACTTGCCAAAAAATCAGTGATAGTGCCATCTAAATCAGAGAAGATGAAGGTGAAGCTCAGAATATTCACCTATGGACTTTTATGTGACTTACATGCATTGTGATTGACTTGCAATATGTACCTGTGGAGTCTTATATTTATATTGCTTCTATTACTTTATAATATGACCTTATCACTGGGTTCTTTTTGTTTCTTAGGCCCATGTCTTCCCTTCATCTTATTTTTTCTTTTGTGTTTAACAGAAGTAAATTAGTTGCTGGTACCTACAAGGATTTCCGCCCCCCCCCCTTTTTTTAACTTCTGAAGATAAATTTGGATACTCTATCCAAATTTAAGAACCCATTTTATCAATAAAAGATAGATACACACCTGATTACCGTCTCTCAAAAAGTATCTCTTCTCTATGACCTGCGAGAAACAAAGATTTTAAGAGCTTAGTACACATACCTGGAAAAAGCATTAATTGCAGTAGACAATAATGGCACTACAGAGTGTATATCCAAATTAAGAGTGCTTTCAATAGCTACAGACATCTAGTGTAATGAGTTAAATCTGGTGCTAATGAGATCAGGACTGTGGGAGTATTTCCATAAAATCTGGCCTCATTCCAAAAAGCATTAATGATAGATAAAAAAAAAAAAGAGCTAACAAAAACAACTAAATAATCAGAATGACATAGGATCCCATGCAATTCCTAATGTGTGGTGGCGAATTTGGCTCAAGGTTTCCTAGCAGTCAGCCCAGAAGATACCAAACAGAATTCTTAAGATAAAAGCACTTTTACTGCTACAGGAGTACAGCTATTTCTTAAAGAAGACTCTGTTTAATGCAATGACTTGCCACATTCTTCTAGCAAACACAGTGATATATTCTGTAGGTCATCAATGCAGACAGATGACACACTATCATAGACAGTCAACTAGCTTCATTTTAGGGACTTAATCTGCACCCTTACTTCAGCAGTTTCAGAACTGTCTATCTTTGGTCAGTAGGAGAAACTAGGTAAAGCAGTGGCTGTATGTGCACAAATCCATACAAATACTGTGGGGAATCCTCAAAATATATGCCTCTAACAAAGTAAGTTTAAATGCATCATGTTTTCAGATGATGAAAAATAATTTTAGGAAATAATGAATTCTGTTCTAACACTGCAATTTTTGCAGAAGCAATATTATTTTTCTTTACATAGAGATGTTGTGATTAAGAAAAGTTAATCAGGTAAGAATACAAATTAGCTGGAGATTAACTCTAAGACACTGGCATCTATAATTAGGAAGCTAAGAGCACCTCTGAATAAGAGCAGAGCATCCTCCCCCAGGTTTGTGCCACCTTGCTCTGGCTGGCCTGACTGCCAAGTCATCTAGATTCTTTCCATCTGTGAGACTGGGTTACTTTTAGCCACAAGTAACCCAGGCTAAGTTTACATTCACTGGTGCCTGAGACAGGAAAGCTGGCTTGTGAGTAGCATACATCTCAAAATACTTGACCCCAGAAAAATCAAGAAGTGACTGACTCTCTTTCCTCTCTCCATAGCAGGATAGAAAAATCCTATCATCCTAGAGTGGAGAGGAATTACTACTAGCCAGGTGAGTCTAGAGGAGGAGTTAGATTCCTTCTTGAAAAAAAAAATCTTTACATTAAATTCTGGAAAATATGATGTATAGAAAACTGGGCAAAATTTAGCTGCCAGATCCCTTAGTTTCAGGCAACCACCACACTCTGGAGGTCTGGCTGACCTCCTAATTCATATACCTTTCATTGTGATTTAGGTAATGAAGAGAGAAGTTACCTTTTTGCTTTTGCTCATAATACCCTACCCTCAACTTGCAATGTCTTCCTCTTACCCAATCTTGCTCTCTTCCTAAAACCAACCAAGTTCTCTCTAACTTTTTTTAAAATAAAGCTTTGCCTGAAAATTTGGGTCATGCTAGTCTATTACCTATTGTGTCTCTCTAGGCTATAACTTATTACATCTTATTATATTAATTTCAAAATCAACAAATTATTTGAAAGCATAAACAATATATCATGGGATCTTTCCATATTAGACACAGGTCTGTAAGATGTTGCTTTTAGGGACAGAATATTGTTTCAGATGGGGGCCACTGATCTAGACCAAACAGAGTTCTTATATTTTAAGTTTGAAAACAATTTGGAGAAAAAAATCTGGTTCCTTACAGTGCTTCCCAACATTCTTAATATCATGGCACATTCAGAAAACGTTAAATTGTATAGCACACTGGGGGTAAGTGCAAGATGCTGCCAATCACCCAGCCTGGGGAGCTCTGGCTGCACTGATAACTAAGGGGAGTCACTATCTTGGCACACCTTTACTCTATTTGCCACATCTTGTACCTTTATTGGCAATGAACCAAAACTTACCATTGGTCCAATATCAAACAGGGAGGAGTGTGGGGCTTATATTCTGCTGACATTTTGGACAAAAGGGCCCTAAATGGGTAAAAGAAAATGATTCACAGAGAAAAGCTGTGAGGAGAGAAATGTTTTCTTGAAAAATTACACTTAAGAGGAAATATAATACAGAAATTAATCTTTTTAGAAATACAGAAATAAATTCTATTTTACTTTATTGCACAATGTCAACATTGTGCAGAAACCTTAAACTGGTCAATATCATGTGCAATGAAGCTGTAGGGCCTTGTAAAGGAAAGACAAACAGTGCTCTACTTTGCTAGTGTGCTGAGTCACTCTACATTTTATTTCCAGTTTAGGACAATATGATGAAGCTAGCAAGAGTCAGTAACTGGAATGCAAAGGTTTCTGTTAGGGAAATTTAGGGAATCGAGAAGATGACATCATCTTAAAAGTAACTGTAATGTTTATGTGGAGAAAGAACATCAGTAGCTGGGAAAACAAGAACGCAAGGCTTTAAGATGAATCTCCTCAGTTCAGTGCCTTTTATGCAGAGGTTTGGGTAAATAAGTAAAAAAGAGCTAGAAAAGGAAACATAAATTGTTTTAAGGCAGGGAATTAGGCAGCTTTTAAAAACCCCATTGAAATCCAGTAGCTTTCATCCTTTGCTTAGATAACACTGGTGATAGAATAAATATGTCAGCAGGCCTTGGGCAATTATACCAACAGATAAGAGAGATCAAAACAAGTATTATTCAGGTTGTGAAATTTAGGACAAAAGAATAAAAGGACAAAGCATTTCTACAAAGAATTTAAACTCTCATAACACATAAATTAAGTTTAAAAATAACTTAATTGAAATCATTACCTTATCAAAAAACCTACTGAGCTTGACAGCATTGGAAGAACCTGCAGCTAAGTACCGTGGATTTGTGCAATCCTAGAAGATGAAACAGCAAATCCACAATCAAAAGTCTGGAAATGTAAGCTCTTTGTTAGTCATCACTGTTCCTGTTGCACACTTCTATAGTAAAATATTAGGTGTAACACTCCCATAAAATAGTCAAGCAATTTTCAAATTATGATGCACAAAGTGAGAGGAAAGTGCTAAAGGAAGAAAGGCCACTTTTGTTATTTAAGCAATTTTAGAGGACATTGAACCAATGTATTCATCATCAAATAATTCATAAAGGAAGATAAAATTGCTGATATCTTACTCATAACAAAACCAAAGTACTTACCAGGTGACCTACCTACATTCACCCTGAAAAGCAGAAACAGAGCCATTAAAAACAGCTAACACTTCACTTTTTAGCACTAGTTATTCACCAGTGCTCAGCTAATTAAGTATGTGCAGTTCAGTTCATACAAATAGTAGGAAGCAAGAAAGTAAGGAGTTAGAGAAGCACAAAACAAAACAGCAGGTATTTCTCACTCACTGAAGGCAAGGGACTAATCTCTCAGTAGGCCATAAAGATAGTAATAAACAAGATATATTTCTGGATTATAAACAATAGAAAAATGGCACATTTATTAATATTAAATATCAATTGTTATTAATAATAATCAAACAATAATAGAAATAGATATATATCACAATTAAATAGGATTTTGAAGTATAGGGAAAAAACGTGGCCAAGAAAGACAAAACAGTTTGGAATGCTCCAATGAAATGCCTAGTAAATTACAGTGATTAGTAAAGACCTTCAAATCCCTTTTCCTGGTATTCCAGTATGGAGTTGTCTTTGCTTGTTATTGTTTACTTGACACCTCAAGAGACAGAACTTTGATTTTTGCCTCAAATGCCACCCAAGACCAAACTACGAGGACATCATGTAGGCTTTTTTGCAAGGATGGTATTTATCTTTCAGTTGTAGATTGTCTTTGTCCCTTGGGAAACTAAAATTATTGTTGTTACACTTAACTCTGTTTTGTAATCTCTAAACCCACACGATTCTTTCTGGTTCATTTTGTAACAATCACCTATTTTATCCATATGCAGCATTTCAAGACACATTTTATATTCTGGGCATAAACTGAAATATGTTTTCCAAAACCATAAAAAAAGAGACTACAACAAACTTTTCAAAAATTATGAAGTGCTAGAAAAATCAGAGGTCTCTTGAAGCCAGAATGCTCTGAATCTGAATATCTGTCCCAACACCAGAGTGTCATCCACATTGTGGGATATTGGTTAGGTTACCAAACCTTTTAAGTTAAGTTTACTCATTTGTGAAATGGGGAAAGGAAAACAATACTTATCTCATAGGATTTTGGTGAGAATTAAATGAGATAATGCATGCCTGGTATGTGGGTACTAAAATGTTAGTTCCCTTCTGTCTTCATTCGAAGAAAATGCTATCAGGTTGAATTTTTAGACACAAAATCACCTAACATAATAAAAGATAATTCCATATATGGATTAAATAGACTGAAACATCATTGTGTGAACTGTTGTATTTGAAGTAATATTTGAACACATTTATTCAGCAGTTGGGGCATGTAAGAGACAGACCTTAGATAAACCTGTGTTAAATATATTTTACCAACTGGATATTGATTCCATAGCCATCAGAATGTCAAGACTTCAGATATGATTCCAAATAGAGCTGAAGTACTAAATACAAAAGGTATATCAAACAGGAAAGGAACAAACAAAACCCCCCCAAATTCAGTTTTTACGGCTTCACAATTTCAGGTTGACCAGGTTAGAGAAACCCTATTTCAGGATGAGAATTTTAGACTTGAAAGAGCCTCTGCCACTGATCATGGCTGAGGGCAAAGCCTGAAAATTAATAGCTCTAAAGAGCTTGTCTAAGCTAGAGAAAGGAATATTACCCAGGGAAGATGCTTCAATATGATCACTTTGAAGTAAACTGTAACAAAAACATTTGGATTAGACACAGTAAGCCTAACAGGATCTGAAAAAAATAAGTAATCTTCTCCCTACTTATAATGTAAACAATCTGCCTTTTTTCAGGCATAAGATGATAACTTTGTTTTCATCTTTGATACATACATTTGTTAATTCTTACTTTTTTATAGTTTAAGTAAATTCATACAGTAGCCAAAGTCGCTAGCACTAATCTGTTACATTGGTTTTTTACTTGAGGCTTCATATTTATTTGCTAAAGTCATTTTGATTGCTGTCTCTTTTTGAAACTCCCAATTTTCCTCCTCCTTCTTTCTTCCTTATATCCACAAGACCCGCTTGTTAACAGACACATATAGCAATGGAAGAGAACAGAGAGCCCAGAAATAAACCCACACATATATGGTCAATTCATATATGACAAAGGAGGCAAGAATATACAATGGGGAAAAATAGTCTATTCAATAAAGACTATTTTGGGAAAACTGGACAGCTACCTGTAAGAGAATGAAACTGGATTACTCCCTAACACCAAACAAAAAAGTAAACTCAAAATGGATTTGAGAACTAAATATAAGACATGAAACCAAAAAACTCTTAGAAGAAAACATAGGCAAATATCTCTTGACATAAGCATGAACAATTTTTTTCTGGATACATCTCCCTAGGCAAGGGAAACAAGAGCAAAAATAAAGAAGTGGGACTATATCAAACTAAAACTCTGTAAAGCAAAGGATACCATCAACAGAACAAAAAGGCAACCTACAGTATGGCAGAATATATTTGTGAATGATACATCTGATAAGGGGTTAACATATAAAATACATAAAGAACTCATATGACTCAACACCAAAAAAACAAATAATCCAATTAAAAAATGGGCCAAGGCCCTGAATAGACATTTTTCCAAAAAAGACATACAGATGGCCAACAGGCACGTGAAAAGCTGCTCCACATCAGTAATCATCAGGGAAATGCAAATCAAAACCACAGTGAGGTATCACTTCACACCAGTCAGAATGGCCATTGTCCAAATGAGAAGAAATAATGAGTGTTGGCAAGGATATGGAAAAAAGGGAACCCTCCTTCATTGTTGGTAGGAATATAAATCAGTGAAGAAAGGAGTACAGAGGTTCCTCAAAAACTAAAAATAGAAATACCATACCGAGTAATTCCACCTGTAGGAATTTATGTTGTTGGAAGAAAACAAAATCACAACAACATGGACGGACCTAGAGGGTATTAAGTGAAATAAGCCAGGTAGAGAAAGACAAATACCATACAATTTCATTTACAAGAATAAACACAAAACAAAATGAACAAAACAGCAATAGACTCATAGACACTGAGAATTGACTGGTGGTTATGATGGGGGAGGGTTTGGGGTGGGTGGGTGAACTAGGTGAAGTGGATAAAGAGGCACAAAATCTCAATCATAATATAAATTAGTCACAGGGATAGTACAGCATAGAGAATATAGTCAATAGTCCTGTAACATCTTTCTAATGTTGACAGACAGTAACTGCACTAGTTGGGATGAGCATTTAATAATGTAGATAACTGTCAAATCACTATGTTGTATACTTGAAAGTAGTATAATGTTATATATCAACTATACTTCAATTAAAAAAAGTTAAAAAATAAAAGGTATATTGTAAAAAAAAAAAAAAAGATCTGCTTGTTTCTGCTGTGTTCTTGAAGTCAGACACTGATAAAATGCCATACTATGTTATCTGTGAACTCTGGGGAGACCATGTGTGCTAGGTACCACCAATTGAGCACCTTTACTTACATCTTGTTAACAATGAAAAGATGTATCTGTAAGTAAAATAGGAAAAAAAAATATCTAGGTGATTGCAGAAACCCACAAGCACTGGAAACAGGTTCCAAAATACATTAATTACGGAAACAAATTAAGTGTATTCAATGATATATTTCCTTTTGGAAATAATGTTCAAACAAAATAACTTCAGCACTTTTTCAACAAGGATATCATCTATTCTTTCTAACAGGGATCCTCTGCAATTATCATGGTATAGAGCTGAATATTCCATGGTGGTAGCTGAGGAAGAGGAGGTGCCTCCATGGCAGAGCAGGGAACGGCAGGCAGATGCTGACTCAGCTATGGGGGCGGAGGTGGGGACTGAGCCAAGCACTGCTCACCAATGTCGATTCAGAGTAAGGGCATCAGAACCACCTGAGTCATCAGTTAAAATTACAGAGTCCTGGTCCTCCTGTCAGACCTTATGAATAAAGAGCTCCAGCTATGGGGCATTTATTCAACATTTTTCACAGGCACTATTGGTAACATGAATATGAAGTCAAGTTTGAATAACTGGTGACCTAGATGATTTCTAAGAGTTCTTACAGCTCCAAAATTCTAAATGTTAGTTGAAGGAGAATTATGTGGAAAATAGGCTTAACTGGAGAACACAGACTCTGAAGTCAGAGTGGCTGGTGTGACCTGCGTAACCTTGGCCTAGTTACCTCTCTCTGCTTCTGGTCTTCATCTGTAAGATGGGGATACCTGGAGTGTTTACCTTAGAGAGCTGATGTGAGGATGATGCATGTGAGATAATGTACATAAAGCATTAGAACAGTATACAGCAGGTAGTAAGTGTTCAAGAAATGTTATCCATTAGTATTATTAAGTCACCACTACACCACAAATCTAGAATGCCAGGGCACTGACTGTATTGCAGAAACCCTACTTGGGTACAATGACACAGAAACCACGACTGAAGCTGCTGGTCAGGATCCTTCTTTGGGCTTATATGAGAACTCAACCTTTTTAGCATCCAATTCTAATGCAACCAAAAATCTCAATCTTTTGTATATGCCTACATTTGTATAAACTAATGCTTATAAAGCACTTCATTGTTTACAGTTTTCTCACTTATCAATTTGTTTGCCTTTTAAGGTAAGTTCCATAGTTTAAGAAGCTATGAGGCTTTTTTAAAGCAAGAATAATCAAGGTACAGTATCAGGGACCCTTCGGTCATCTTAATTATTTTGACTTTGGTGCGATTTTAAAAAATATTTTCAAGAAAAAGCCCATTTTTTATGTTATTTACAGAACAAAGTTTGAATATCGCAACAGATAGCATACAAGGAGGCTGAAGTGGTGTGCCCATTTGACAATCTATGTTGATTCCAATCTTTACTACATTTTGGACTAGAACCCAAATCCCTGATTTCAAGTATAAAGCTTCTTTTGTGAGAATATCTGACTTGTGAAGTGTTCAGTTTGCCCTTACTTGATAATAACACAAACATGCATTAATGAAAATACATACCAAATTAATCTCCTCTGCATTGAAATCCTCAGCCAGAAAAGCTGTCCTAGTTAAAACTTCATGGCGCTTGGTTTCATGAATCTGATCCAGTTTAGTTCCTATTACCAACAGTGGAATTTGGTTATCAGCAAACTGTTCCCGGTCATAATCCCTGCAATAAATAATAATGAAGAGGTGAACAGAATTTATCTTTCTGATATAGATGTGTTAATATTTAAATGCAAGTTGCTTATACTATTTGACTGATGCTTCACTGACTCTTACTCACCCATTACCTGTAAACCTACTTTTCTCCCAATTTCTTTTATCTACTTGTTCATTTATCAATCCATCCTCACCATCTTTAGAGTTCCAAATATTCATCTAACTACTCCAAATATGCTCCCATGAGTTTTTATAGATTACTTGAGCAATCTATTACTGAGTGCCCACCAAGCATATGAAAGTAGGTTGACTTGACTTTTCCTAAAGATCTGTCTTCTAAGGCTAACAGCTCAGGGATTTTTCTAGGTAGAGGTAGAGAGTGGATTCAAACCTATGTGGAGGGAAAACCCAAGAACCTAGCATGGTACTCAAGCCTTTTGACAGAGGGGAAAATGGCAAGCTTCTGGCATTATGCATAAGCTCTATACCTACCATGTACATTTCTGCCTATGAATAGTAAAGAAAAATAGACCATTTCAAGAAAGTAAGATGTAGCGATGCTGAAGGCCAGAATAAATCAACCATGGGTGATGCTATAGCCTGGGGGAGAGAAGAATGCAACAAGTGGACTGGAAAGGAAACAGCTGAAATGTAAAATGAATAGTAAAAGGAACAATTAAGTACCAAATTGTTGTTTATCCTGAAAAGAAAGCCATGGGAGATAGAGGACAGGCAATCAGGATCACTTAGGGTTAGTGGCCTTGGGTCACTGGCTTTTACAATCCTTTATTTTTACCCAAAAGGATAGAGTGGTATTCCTTCTGTTACTGAAAGGAACATAGAGCCCAATGTTGTTCAATTAATTTAAATCGTATTCACATATGAGAAAACAGATTTAGATTTCTGACATGTTATAAGCTCAGTTTACTATAGTCAGCAAAATCTGGCTGTGAACACCTTATGACAGTAAATTAATATGGCATGGAACAATCAATACAACCAGTTGAGCATAGCTTTTTTTCTTCCTTTGACATTATTTTTCTCTTTCTTTGAATAATCTAAATTGGGCATGTATTTATGAGCAAAATTACTAAATCTTTTTGCCCTTCATAATAATTTCAGTGAGCCTCAATTACTGTTCAGAATTAGAACACAATTATTTTGAATTATGTAACCTCACATTTCATAAAAATGTTATTCTATTTATTGCATCAAAGCCAATAATGTCTTGAGTTCAAGGCTTACCAACATCAACTGTGACCTAGGAGACATGTTCCAAAATTGAAATTTGCTGTATTAGAGAATATTTTGAGAGTGTCCTCTTTTAGGACTATTTTCTTTACCTATATTTACTAACTCTGGTTCACACACAAATTTTTGTATATATTTTATCAAATTCCATCTTTGATACACATATATCTCTGTCACTTGTAGTCTTACATAATCCTTTGAACCTTAACACATTATGTCACACATAATATACTACAAATTTATTTATATATGTAACATAACATATTACATTCCCACGTGTTTTTATATATATATTAAATTTGTTCTCTTATTTCTCTTTTAGCTTTCCTTTTTTTCTCTCTTCCATTAAATTTTATACAATTTGAAATTTGATCTTGAAATCCTTTAATTTTTTTTAGGTGAAATCTACTGGGGAATTTTATTATGGACAGATAAGGCTGACAACACTTTACCATCACAGAGAGACAGATAACTGGGTATTATATTAAAAGCATAATACCACTCTGGCAGAACCAAAAACCTTACCTCTTTACAGACTATTTTTGATACCATTTTTGAGAAAGTTTAGGATTCAGAAAAAGTTTAATGGACACTATAGGGACACTCAGCAAAATGCACAATACAGGAATTCTACAAGACAAACAAGCCATCTTTCACAAATAAACTGCTAGCGGGTTAAAAAAAAAAGGGAAGGGGAACTTAAGATTAAAAGAAACTTAAGGAAACAAATATAATGAGTGGACTTTCCTTAGCCACTCTTTTGAAAAAGCCAACAATTATGAGCCATTTGGGGAAATTAAAATAATATTTGATATTAAAGAATTCTTATGAAATTTTACATGTGACAATTATATTTTGGTTATGTTAAAAAATGCTTATCATTTAAAGTTGAAGTATATACAGATGAAATGATATGATGTCTAGGATTTGCTTCAAAAAATAAATGGAGAGACATACTGTGTTCACAGATTAGAAAATGCAACAAAAATCCTCAATTTTATTTATAGATTTAATGCAATTCCAATAAAAATCCATACAGAATTTTTGTCAATACAGACAAGATGATTTCAAATTAATATGGAAAAGCAAATGAACTAGAATAGCTAAACAATTTTGAAAAGTAAGGAATCACACTGCCTAATTTTAAGACTAACTGATCTGGGATTAGGCAGAGTTGTTATACATGACACTAAAAATGTAATATATAAAAGAAAACATTGAAAAATCAGGCTTTCTTCACATGAAAAACTATTGTTTGAAACACACTGTTAAGAGAGTGAAGAGACAATGTCTGGACTGGAAGAGAATATTTGCCAATCAAAGACCTTACAAAGTGTTATTTCAGAGGGTACAGTCCTATAACTGCTGTAACATTTCAAACCAACTGTGATGTAATCTGGGCTTACCCATTTGTTACCAAGACTCCAGTTGGCACCAAATCCCTATTGAGAGCTTCCAATGACCAACGATACAAGTTTTGGGATGACTTCTTATTTGTTAAGTCGTGTACTAAAATAATACCTAAAATAATCAGAGAAAATGACGTCAATACTGTTAACAACTGCTGTTCATTTCAAAAAAAGTGAGGCTTAGTAAATACAAGTATTATAAACCTAGCATTCTAGCATGACTAACAAACTCAAACATGATTATATTAAACTTTCCTCTACAAATTCTTACAAATAATTATCTTCAAAGTTGTCTCTGTCAGTTATATAATTCTTAAGATTCTACAAGGACTGACAAAATGTCATTAAACTTTTAGGATGTCTTCTTTTTTCTTCATTCAACACTTAATGAATGCCTGCTCTGCCTGGTCCTAATTACAGAGCTACCTCATCAATAAAAAGAATCAAAACTACTTCAAGTATATGAAATATTATTCATTCAAAAATTTAACTGCACTGTACATAGTACTATCATAGATATCATACATACACATATTAATTATACTCAGAATATTAAATGATAAAAATTTATTAAAATAGGATTGATTTAATTTGATACAATTGCTATTCTTTAGCTGACAAAATGTTATCCTGCAGATAACCTGGGCCTAATCAACTGAAACGTCTAATATTTTGGGTCTTTGAGTTAATGACTGCCATGTAAGCTTGCTACCTATGAGATTTAGTTAGCAGAGCAAAAAAAAAAAAAAAAATGCCACTAGAAGGGGGGAGGAAAAGACAGTCAAGAAATATGAATAGTAGAAAACAGATGGACTTTTGAGACACTGAGAAAAATAACAAAATGTAATGAGGCTCAGAAATACACAGAATCAGTTAATATTCCAGACAGAAAGGCACAGCAGGTATTTAGTACAATAAGATACAGACAAAAGAGGAAAAGCTTTTAAATGTAGAATTTAGGGTATCATCTTGTGGTCAAGAGACTACAGGTTTTCAAACTCCCAGTCCTTTCCAGACTCTACTGTGAAGAGATGATGTAAAACTGATGAGTTCAGACTGTTGAGTTATATCAATTTGAAAAAGGTCAGAAGAGTTAGACTTATTTGGCTTCTCTAGCTTTTACAGACATTTGTGCAAAAGTTAAATTTGTATCTCTCCTGGCTTCTGGAACAGAGATCTGACACTTGCCCTCATATTGAGTTGCACTCACTATACCTTCCTCAATGAGGGGCTCTTCAGCCATTAAAAACATGTAATAGAGGATAGAATTTAAAAAAGGGATAAAGAGTTACCATTAAAGAACCTACCTAACATTTATTCAGCACTTATATGCTACATATAGTGCTTTACCCTGTTGTCTATGATTTTCAGAACAATCCTATGAGGTAAGAATCATTATCTTCATTTTACACACGTGGAAACTGAGGATCAGAAAGACTGAGTAACTCGCCCTGGGTCACTCGGTAAGTGGGCTAGCCAGAATTTGAACACAGGTAATCTGACAGTAAAGGACCGGGGGAAAGCAGAAAAATGTCACTTTAGGGCAAAGGAGTGGTAGGTATTTTCTCCCTTCCCTGTTGTGTTAATGTCACTCAACTATGGGTGAGCATTTTGGTTGGGAGAGGGCAAGGATTACAAAGGCTCAGATGAACTAACAGATGGAGAGGGAAAAGTTTATTTTCTGAGGATTTCTATTTAAAGCTTTTGAGCTGTTAGGGACTTTGCACACCCCTTTCCCTTATTTTCCTTCTTTCATTTGGACTGAGAGTTCTTGCTTTGTAGTCTATGAGCTAGATGGGCCACAGTGGGCCCCAAAGCGAAGTCTGGTGGTAGGTGATCAGAATATGATCTAATCTTAAGAGAGAGAGAGGTAGACACACTTTACAGGTTTCCTTTGGGGACCCAGTCATCCTCATCATAGTGGGAAGAAAGTAGGGTATTAGGGGAGAAAAGTTACTGCTAAGAATAAATACTGTGCATTTAAATGGAGTGATCCTATGCTTGCTTTCTTAGGAAACAAAGGATGGTAGATAAATTAAGTTGAGTACTTCTACCAAGACAAATGTTTCATAGCTAGGGTCAAATAACATGAAATAGATTTTTCTTAAAAGGAATTTTTTTTTAATATAAGAAAAAGAAATATATCTCAGTCTTATTTGTAAAACTAACAGGATATATGCAATTATTTCAATAATATTCAAGGAAGAAACAAATCACTAATGAACAACAGGCATAGAAAAGATAATCACATATATATGGATTTAGATGGATTTTTTCTTCAGTACTTAAGAAGTGTGCAACTCAGGATTCCTTCACATTTCCTAGGATTTGAATAGTCTTTAGTATTTATTTATAACTTTTATCTTCTTTCTCGAAAAGGTCTAAACAGCCAAAGTGTCATATTTCCAAATTTCTCTTTGCCAGATCACAATTTTGATCAAGTCATTTGACTGATATAATCCAAGTTTATCACTGGAGTCTAGATCTAAACCAGGCTTCATTTCTTTTTCTCCTGTTCTCTAAGAAGTCTCCTAACACTATACCAGTCTTATCTTACTGTTTTTCTCATTTGTATACATTCTATTAATAGATGCCATTATTATATACTTTCTTGCAGGATAATGTCATATATTAATATCACTATTAATTGTATTTTCTTTCATTTATGACTGTTTTGTTTCTTCAGTTAGACTGTGACACTTTCAGAGGGAATTTTGAGCTAAATGGGACATAGGTCTGAACTGACCAAGGCATCCTTTATTCTGTAGTATGTATCCAGTGGCAAGAACCTTCTCTACATTTTTTTGTAGTATCCACAACACCTTTTGATCTGGGAAGATAAGATACTGAAAGAAGAAAACAGGAATGAAAAAGGTACTGAATAATTGCAATGCTTACCTAATACTGATCTAAGCACAGTATAAATGAGGTAGAATAATAGCTAAACATCTACCAGAAGCGAAGGGGTGAGATGCCAAATCTCATAGTACATCAATCACAGACAAGTTGAAATTACATTTCATGGTAAAAAAAAGGTTTTAAGAAATGAATTTTAAAAAAGACAAGTTGATGATAAAACTATACAGGTAAATCACAAGTGTCAGTGGTTTATTCCCTTGACACCAAGTAGCTAGGCTATGAATTGCAATTATGTCCTCTTTCACACACCTCCATCTGTAAGTCCACCCCAGGTGTTTGATTATCTGTGGCTGGATAAAATTTCTGCACTCCTGAAAACACCCTTAGGCAGCTCTTTATAATTACATAGGACTCTCTCTATGGAGCAGACAAAAGAAATTTCTAGCACTATAACATCTGGCTTAGACTGTGGAACTCCTAATGGTTCTATTGTACGTATTTAACTGATTAGAGAAACAGCACTCCCAGGCGAGTGTTTTGAAAGGTCCATATTTTATGTCGAATACCTGAAATACAATTTTATTTCTCAATATTTAGTTTAATGATAATATAAATAGAAACACTTAGACAAAGCAAATATTTAATGTTCAGAATTACACAGAATCTAGAAACACAAATTGGAATGTGATATGCAGATTTAAATAAGAGTTGTGAATATATCAGATCTTTCTTAAGATGAATCCAGCATCCCAAAGCATTCTATATCAGATGATCTGTACTCCTAGACCATTAATATATGGTAGAAATAGAGAAATGCTTTACCATTTACAGAGTTGTAGAATACCGCTCTTGTGCTTTTCACACTGCTGGCACTGCCCACAGAGCCTCCAACATCCCATAATTCTATATAGTAGGTCTTCTCTTCCGGGGTCCCTTCTTTGTAGTCATGAACCTAACAAGTCAATCCATCAAAACCATTATTATAGCCCCTATTTCATGTTTAAAGCATTGGACGATCTATATCAGCCTCTCACCCTCTGACTCTCATCATTACCTCCTATTTTCAAGCTTTCTCCCTCTAATAATAATCTGTGACTCCACAAGACCCTATCTAATTCTCACTTCCTAACTAAACGTAAATTCCATGACTCATTTTAGTCACTCCTTTGCCTCTCTCACTGTGTATTCATCTGACAAAATTCTAATTGATTATATCGATTATATCTACCATTCCCCAACCCAGCTAACTGAACAAGAAGCTCAAAAAAAAAAAAAAAAGCACATTCAAGCAGACTGGATTCATTTTAAATTCAACTTTACCTTTGGAGATATCCTTCAGTCAGTTCTAGTCCACTTCCTCTTTTCCACTCCTAGATACCTATTTATGCTTTCTCCTTTTTTTCAAACTTCCAGTACTCTTCCTTATCCTCAAGCACAGTCAATAACCTTGCTTCCTGAGACAGAAGCAATTAGAAAAGAATTTCGACAACCTTTCCTTCCTGAATTTATCTCCCTGCATCTGTGCCCATATAATCTGCTTTCCCTCCAGTTATTACAGATGAACTCTGTGTCCCTGAGGTCAAATCCCTTTCTTGTATATGGGATCCCATATCTTCTTTCTTATCAAAGATGCAGGTTTATTCAGCAGTAGACCCAAAGACACTGAGAAGGGAAAGGTGGTTGCCATGGGGGAGGGGTTGGGATGGGTGGGTGAGGGGGATAATGGGTAGGCTGGTCATGGGGATAGTAGTACAGCATGGAGAATACAGCCAATGATTCTGTAACATCCTCCTATGTTGACAGATAGTAACCACACTAGTGGGGGTGAGGATTTAAAAATATGGGTAACTGTCAAAACACTGTGCTGTATAATTGAAATTAATATAAGACTATATATATAAAAAAAGATGTAGCTTTATCAATTCTCCCTCTTACTATCAAATTTTCCCCCTCTGTTGGATAATTCCCACCAGCATATAAATATAATATATAAATGCCATAATTTTTCCCATCTTAAAATAGCCTTCTCTTGGCCTCATGCCCTCCTCTGGCTACCATACCATTTCTTTCTTTATTTTTACAGCCAAAGCTCTCCAAAGGGCTGTCTATTCTCAACTGTCTTTAATTCTTTTACTTACATTCTCTTTTGAACTCATTCCTGTCACACTTTTGCCTCAATCATCCCACTGAAATATTCCTTATCAAAGTCACCAATGGCCTCCTCATTGCTAAACACAATCATCAATGAACAGTTTGCATCTTACTCTACCATCTGATATAACTACTGTTACATGTATACACACATATACATATATATATATATATATATACACACACACATACAGACATACACACATACACACACACGAGAGAATATTATTCAGACTTAAAAAAAAAGAAGTCCTGTCATTTGCAATAACATGGATGAAACCAGAGGGCATTGTGCTAAGTGGATTAAATCAGACAAAGACAAATACTGCATGGTGGCACTTAGATGTGGTATCTAAATAAAAAGCTCAGCTCATAGAAACAAAGAGTAGAAAAGTGGTTGCCAGGGGTTAGAAGGTGGGGGGAATAGGGAGAAGTTGGTAAAAGGTACAAATTTTCAGCTATCAGATAAATAAGATCTGAGGATCTAATATATAACATGATGACTATAGTTGAAAATGCTGTATCACTGAAATATCCTAGGAGAGTAAAATGTAAATATTCTCACCAAAGAATTTAGTAAATAAATAAATAATTGAGGTAATGGTGTGTTAACCGAGTGAGATGAATCCTTTCACAATGTTTATCAAATCATCACTACATACACTTTAAATATCTTACAGTTTTATTATCAATTATACCTCAATAAAGCTGAAAAAAAAAAAAGACAAAATATCCTTAAAAAAAAAGAAACATATAAGCCAGACTTACTGAATCAGGACCTTTGCATAATTTGAACAATTCTCCAAATGATTTTGCTCCAATCCCTAGTTAAGAACTGCTGATTTTATAGGATGGAACTATTTTGTTATCAGGCCTACACTATGTTCCTTGATTGCCACTGATGATCCCAGGTATCTCTGAGCCTCAGTTTCTTTGTCTAAAAAAGGAAGGAGTTGTATTATGTATTAACTTTGAAATAATAAATGGCAAAATAGCTTACAGTTAAAAATAGATGTCATAAAATGCACTAAAACTCACTCTAACAGAATGCTTCATACATTTTACTTATTTATAATTTTTCTGTCCAAATCCTTTTGTCCAATGAAAAGTTTAAGTAAATAAGATACTCTATAGATAACCACACTGACATTAAGTGTAGACAATGGTAGACTAACAAGGACAATAGGACAGAAAAATGAGAATAACAAAACCAGTTGGGGACTACTGTGGATATGGAAATTAGCCTAGTATACTGTGATAAAAGGTATCACTATTTTGCTATATGGTATAAATATCTCATCCTCCAAGGTCTTATTACATTCAATCAAGTGTTTTCATGTTTCCTTCCAAGATTACAAAAGAAGGTGCCCTATTTCCTTTCCTACTTGCTCAGTTCATACTAAATTTAACTTAATTCAAATGGAATAAGTCCTAAGAACTATATTTTCACATGGGCCAGTGATCTCCAAGGGAAAGGTTGACATTATAACAAGTATTGCTCTTGACACAGTAAGTGGTAGCCTAATACTATACTAAGAGTCCAACATGATGGGCGGTAATGCCAAACTATAAGAAATGGGTTTTATATTTAAATCAGTCATCAAGGCTCTGATACTTAAAGTCATTATAGGTATTACAGCTATACAAGGAAGGATTTTCTCAACAGGGAGCAAACTAGTATGTACTGATCATCAAATGGGAGAAAGAACCACACTCCCAATGTTACTGTCACTTGGGTACTTCATTTACTCACCTCTTGCCTTTTTATTGGAAACCAGGTCAAGACTAAATACAAAAGGTTTTGTCTCATTGGAAGAGTTTATTCATTGTAAACTTTCAAAAAGCAGAAACAAATTTAGGAAAGAAAATGACACATATCAACAAAGAATACTAAATGATGTAGGTGCTCTCTAATGTTTAGTATGTGTGCCTGCAGAATTATTAGAGAGGCAAGAGGTAGGATGTCTTAGGAGGGACTTAGGAGAAAAAAAGGACAGCAATGAGCAGACAGCAGACTACGATGGGAGCAGGAACTGAATTGTCTCATTCACAGCTCTATTTCTAACTCCTTGCAGGGTCTGTTACCCAGTAGGCATGTAATATATGCACTAAATGAATAAATGAATGAATGAATAACATAAAGGTTACTGCTAATTGCCTCTTCCTTTCCAGGAATCTTGTTTCGCCTCCAGCCAAACTAATTTTCTCTAGTGTTTAAAAAAACTTTCACCTTTCTCTTCTATTCTGTACCATTCACTCCTTTATTAATCTCTCAACTCTGTATAAGATTAATTTAAAACTCCATCTCTATTCCTCTCTGCCTATGCCTATTCACATCATTTGGTTTTTAACACTAAAAGTCCACTGCACTTTCAAAGGCCAGCACTGGCTTTGTCATCATGAATTCAATTCTCTCTCTTTCTCTCTCTCTCTCTCTCTCTCTTTTTCTCTCTCTCTCTCTTAGGCTTTGTATCTATAGCGCTTTATACTAAAAATCAATCCCTCCTTCTTGAAAATTCTCATCTGTCTTTGCTTTTGTGGAATTTCATCATCTTGGCTATCCCACCTACCTCTTTGGTTGATCCTTGTCTGATCCCTCTTTTCACCTTCAACTCTTTAAATACACCCAAAGATTCTTCTCCCCCAGCTCTTTTCTTCCTAACTTTTCTTTTCTGAAAAACACATCAGCTCTCACAGTTCAGGATTATCTCTATATAGATGATTCCAACTCAGAATGTTCATTTGGATTTCACCACCTCATTTGTAAATGTCTTCTGTATAGCTTCAGTTGGATAGCTCAGATCCTCCCTTCATCCTGTCCAGAACCGGATTTATTATCTTGCCTTCTCTTTCACTTATAATATACATGCCCCTCCTTGAGGAATAGTCCATTCTTCCTTTGCCCAGGTCACCGATTCAACCATTAACACCCAGTATAATTTTCTATTCTTTACAAGCAGCTCAAGTTTACACTTTATCTTCTCTATCAATGTTGTGCCACAGAACTTTCTGCAATGATGGAAATGTCCAGTATGTAGACATGTCTAGCAATATGTCTCTTGACTACTGAGCAGCTGAAATCCAGCTAGTTCAACTAAGGAACTAAATCTTATTTTAGCTAATTTAAATTTAAATGCCACTTGAGTCTAGTGATTCCTGTATTCAACAGCATTAGAATACTTTTTTTTCTTAATACCATTCTGGAACAAGTGGCAGTACAGAGCAGTGATCTAGAGTACAGGCTCTTGAACTAGACTGCCCAGGTTTGAATCTCAACTCCATTGCTTACTAACAATGTGACCTTGGATAAGTTATTTAGCACTTCTGCGACTCAACTGCTTCACTGCCACATAGGGACCCTAAGAGTATGAAGGGTTGTGGGTATTAAGGAACTGGTATGTAAAACAGGTGCCAAAAAAATGTCAGGCGTCATTCATTATTATTGTTATTTTAAAGATCATTTCACTTTGCCACACTTACTAGATCCCACCACTTATTCTTAGTGAAGACAGACATTGCCTTAAAAAAAAAATTTCTCATTGTTTATACATTGTTATGCTGCCCAAGAGGAATTCAATAAATATTGATTGTATGCAATGTATAAATTAGAGAGTTAAAATCCCATTAAAGTGAACTAGAAATGACAAATCAATTTCTTTATTCATAATTTGTGAAAAGACTAAGTTCTATAAGTCTTCTTTCATAATTAAGAGTAGCCATGCATTTATATTAATCTCATTAGACTTGGATCAACAAAATTGGAAGGCAGTAATGAACGAAGAATTGCACGAAATAAAGCTTTTCTCCTTCCCTTCAGTTTAGTTATGAACACCTCTGCACTGCATACTAAATCCAAAATGTTACTAATTACTGAGTACATACATTAAGCTCACTAGCTTCACCCAGTACTTGAAATTAAACAATTACATTATCACCTTTATTATCTCTATTTTTAGTTTGCCTTTTAACAAATGTGAAATGAGCTAAATGGGACAATTGTTTCCAAGAGTTTTAAAAGTGTGTATTCATGGATCAACACTGATTCTGGAGATCCCCTCTCACAGGTTTCAATAACACAGAAGCTATAATTGTAATATAAAAGCTGCTACCTAAGAAGTGTTCTTCCAAGCTATTTTGGTAGAAGCTTTATGAGATTTAATCATTCTTGCTAGAGGGAAGAACTGCTCCCTGTATTAACACAATAGTCAAAATGATTCATATGTCTATGATGACTTTCCTTGACATTATTGTTTAAAAATGCCTTTTACTTATGTTGTCACTCAAATTCACTCTTCTCAAAGATGGAAGAGATCAACCAGCCCAAGACAGAGTGAAAAGTAATAAAAGTAAGGTCACTTTCATCCCCACATACTCCATTCTACCATTGAAGGAGTCAATTAGTACCATACTCATTCCAGTAAAATTAGTCACATTATTACATGACATTTATCTCTGATTACTGCAGCCTTTATTCCAGCTTCCTTGCAGGCAGTTTTATGTCCTCCCCAGTGTTCCTGGGAAGTAGGGAGAGAGTTAAAAAATCTACAGTCTAGCTAACTCATGGGAACTCCAACTTCATTTTCTCCAAAGCAGGGGTTTCCAAAGGGAATTGCAGCTGTTCTAAACTTGGTCAGAATCTTGAGAACTAACTAATCTCATGTTGGTCTGCTCTCTGGGACTTGTTTAGAAGCACTCCTTACAGACAGACACAACCAAGTCTCCACCTTCATATATAGGGGACTGCTGGGACAAAATTTCTCTTGAAAATTTTGTCATCAACTATATGCGAGACATTTTACATCTCTTATCCTCAGTTACCATACATTTTACCTCTTTAATTGGTTTTGTATATTCTCATTCCCAAATTGCTTTCTGCTTCATCTGTACATATTCAACTCCCAGTTGATTCATTCCTCCAAATCTTCCCACTTTTCTCCTGGCACTGTATTCTATTGTTACAAAATTCCATTATATTCTTATCCTCAACCCCACTGTATTAGGGGATGCCAACCTCTACCCTGAAGACACAACTTCTCCTGCTGCCCGCTCAGATGGATGCTGTTCACTTTTCCTCATTCTGATTACCTCTCCAAAGCTACTTCCAGTATATTATTCCTCTGCCCGTATATAAAAACCCTGTGTTGTTTATAGGCTTTGGACTACTATCCTCCCTTCCCTCCCACTTGCCTTATTGTTAATACATACTAGCTTTCTATCAGCATATTCAGTCTGGCCCTTCTGCTCTAATGCCTATCATTAACCACTTTAACATCCACTTGGAAAAATGATTCCACATTGTATCCAGTGTTCCTCAAAACACTCTTCACCACTTACATCAGAATCATCTCAGGTGCTTCTTAAAATGCAGATAACTGAATCATAATATCTACAGGCAGGGTCCAAGAATCTAATTTAAAGATTAAGACTGTCAGAATGGTTATTAAAACAAAATTTAACTATATCTACTTATAAGAGATATACCATAAATATAAGGACACAGGAAGCATGCAAGTTAAAAGATGGAAGTAAGTTACACCACATAAGCATTAATGAAAAATAAGCTGGTTGACACAATTCAGTCTTAACTACAGTTACTATGCTGTACATTATATCCCAAGAACGAACTTATCTTATACCTGGAAGTTTGTACCTTTTGGCCACCTTCAGCCAACTCTACCATTTCCACTCCACTCCCTGCCTACAAAACAAAACAAAACCTTACAAACCTGTAGGCTAGAAAAGCAGGTATTAATAACCTCTACTTTGCAGATGACATACTAAGGCTCAGAGAAGTAAACTGATTAGTCTAAGGTCACTCCTTAAGAAGCAAAAGGTAATATGGGACAGACCTAGGAAGTGGGAGTTTAGATCTACATTTCTTTTCAATATGCCATGCTCTCTCACAGAAAGGGAGTTAGAAAAGTCCAAAGGGAAATTTTGTCCAGACCTTGCTACTGGGTCTCTCAAGTTAAACAAAGTTGCCACTGAACTCATTATCTAGACTTTGCTTTTCATCTGTACCTAAGAATTTGGGAACTTGGTAGGCTGAAATGCCATAAAAATATTTTTTAGAAATAAAGAGGGCAAGCTCAAGGGAAAGAAAGGGAAATCCCCAGATGCTAGAAATGAAGGAAGAACTTAAAATCAGAGTGAGAAGTGGGAACTGACTCAGATTCAAATATAGCTTCAGGGGCTGGTTCCTAGAGTTTTTGTGCCCATCCAGGAATACACATCTGTTTCAGGTTTTAAGGCAATGGTATATGTGGGTGAGTGACAAAGACCAGACTGTAGTTCCCTTGATGAGCTGCTCAGTCTATGAAAGAGAGCAGGAGAAAGTCTATCCACTGCTTTGTGAAAGCAGGAAAAACTTTGTCAGAGACCTCAGGTAGGGGTAGTAGAGAGTAAAAGATCCACAAAATATGGGAACCACAGGCCCATCCTACAATTGGATATTGGGGAAGTTTACATTCTCTAGATGGAATGAAAACTTCTTACTGAGAAATTACAGGGACTGCTGAAATCCCTAGGGCTCTGGCAATAACAGAAATGGAAAGGCGCTATACTTTTACAACACGGCCTAAGGACTTCCACAGGGAAGAGGGAAAATAAATCCTGCTGAAGATGTGATCATCTTCAACGAATTACAAACCACTCAAAAGATACATTTCCATGACACAGAGTCAGCATATATAGCAAGTAGAATATCTACCACCAAGAAAAAAACAGAACACTCTAAAAGAAACCATAAAATAGTCTGTTGAAAATGATTAATATAAAAAGTAAAACCATAATGAAAGCAGGAGAGTTTGAAAACTTTCGACTTTTGAAAAATAACCCAAAGGAATATCTAGAAATTAAAAATTACAATTACTGACAGGAAAAACTGGGTGGATTATATTAAAAAGAAGACTAAGCACATTTTTTTGAAGAGATTCCTAGTTAACCGGAAGGCAGACATGCATACCTCATCTAGAAGGCACCTCTGAGAAATAAAGAATAAGAAACATGAAACTACAAATCAAAGAAATAGAGAACAAATATCTAATAGAAGTTCAAAAGAAGAGGATAGAGGGAATGAGATAAGACAAACATAATGGAAATTTTTTAAAAATGAGGACATATGTGAGAAGCATACTACTAATGAATGAGATAACTAAAAACAAATCCATACCTAGACATAGGTTAGTAAAATTACATAAAAAACTTTTAAAAGAAACTAGGGAAAAGAAATTTCCTTAAAAAGGAATAATAATTAGGCTGACAGAAAATTTCTAATCAGCAACAATATAAGTCACAGACTGTGGAACAATAACTTCAAAGAACTGAAGGAAAGTAACTGTTAATCTAGCTATTACTATTCCTTTCCTATTAATTTCTTAACTCAAAGGAGAGAGATATGCTAGCAGAAGAGACACTTGGACAGCAGCAGTTGGAACTGGCAAAGACCAACAATATGGGACAATACATAATTCAGTGGAACTGCACCTGAGTTCCCTTAATGTGAGGTGGAACAGAGGACCCAGAAACAGCTTTTGCCTTTACACTATTTCTAGTCAAAAGTTGCCTACCTCAGTGCCAAAGGCTTAGGCAGAATTATTTATGGAGCATACTAAGCAAACTCCAGAAACACAGCATAGTACTTAAAACTGAAAACTCTGAAATCAGACTACTTAGGATCAAATCTTGACGGCTTCTTATGCAGGGTGAATGTAGTCACGTTACTTCCCTATGCCTTAGTTTCTGTAGTTGTATTTCAGTCAAAAAAAGATCAAGCAAGCAAAGACATGTAAAGTATTTGGCATAGTATCCAGCACACAGTAGGTGCTTAATAAAGCCCACCTATTATTACTATTTAGTCTTAACTACAGTACTATAATTTGATCATGCAGTTTGAAGGACTTAGTATTTGAGGATAATATGACTACTGAAAAACTGAAATATAAGAAATACATACTCTGACGTCTACTGAGCAGCCCACTGTCCATGATGGATTTCCCAACACTTGATTTTGGCACAGAAGATGAACTAGTGAAGATTTCCCAACACCTGTGAAAGATAAAAGAACTCTAGTAATACAAGAGACATACTGAAATCTATATGGCAAAATTAAGACTGACTGAGCATATACAAGAAAAATGATAGGTAAAGTATGGTTGTTTATAGGGTGTTTATACCATCCCAACCATTTACTAAGCTTTATTGATAAAGAGAAGATGGTCAAGGACAGTGGTTCTCTCAAATTTTGCTTGAACATTATCAGTGATAGGATTTATCATTTCCTAATCTCATACTAAGACACTCTAGTTCACCCCCAAAAGGCAGCCAACCATTTGGCTCAGACTTATCCTTTGGGAAAAGAGTATAACTCTACTCTCTCTTCTACATCATGGCCCTTTATTTTAAGGCAGCACTTAATTTTCCTTTAGATCCCCTGGGCATAATGTAATCTAGTTGTTAATGCTGGGGCTAGCATTTGGAGATCTGTATGAAGAGGAAAGGGAATGAGTTCTCCTTATACATTTATGTGTAGAGTCAATCAATTAACAGCATTTTGGGATGCCCTTATGGCAAGTACAGTTGGTAAATCTTTATGTATCACTAGTTGTATAAAAAATTTAAACCATCTCCTTGCATGCATTATTGTGTACGAAGCTGCCACTTGTTTATTTTTTTATTGTAAAAATTATGTTTATAGATAATCTAGAAAGTATTACAAAAAGAAGGAAAAAAATCACCTGAACAGCACTATGGTCAACATGTAGGTTTATAATTCCATAAACAGGGTTTTTCTATAAGCAAGTTAACATATACATGGTGTACTTACAAGCAATAAAACATGAGCCTTTGCTTACATAGCTGGTTCTGTATGGAATATCTTACCCTTCCTGTCCCGTCATTGCCCCTCCCCCACTGGTCTGGTGAAGTAATCTTTAAAGACTCAGCAATTTTCTAGTTATAAAGTCTTTTCTGACCCCACACAGGTAGAAGTAAGCACACCATCCACCATCCTTTGGGTCTCCATTGTACTCTATAAACTTTTCTACAGAGCACTTAAAACACATATTACACTTGTTTGTAGGTTTTATTCTCTCTGTTTAAGTTCTTTGAGGGTTGTGATTGGGTTTTACTCATCTTTCTTATCTCCAATGCTCAAAGCAGGGCCTTAATTAGTATTTACTTAGTACTAAAATATTGTTATTACAGAATCTTCATAAACATTTTTAATGTCTCCATGTAGTCAGAGAATAGACATAACAATTTAATTAACTCCTTATTAGATATTTAGAGCATTTTGAACTTTTCAGTATGCTAAGAAAAGATCTGTTTAAACTTCTGTTTAAAATTAAATTATTTCCTTGGCATACCTTTCCAGAAGTGAAATTAATATGTAAAAGGAAACGAACACTAAAGTTGGTATATTTTTGACAACTTTCATCTGGTTACTCTGCCACCAGCCATGCATATCAGCCTGCAGGTCTTGTTGCACCTCAACAGTATGTATGTAGGTGCTTTTTCATCTGCTATTTTGGTAATAGAAAAAAAGTGACATGTTGCTTTAGTCTGCATTTCTTTACCTTCTGTTAAAGATGTAAGCTATGATCATCTTTGCTAATAAATTTTCTTTCCTCTCTTAAGAATTATCTGTTGATCTCTTCACCCATTTTTCTACTTTGTTTTAGTGGTATCAATTTATATGACCTCTTTAGCTGGCTCATGTAATTCAATCAAACGTTCTCCTAGGTTTCCCTCTTACTATTTTTACTTTTTTACCTACTAACATTTAATATTCTTGAGTATTCACACTTAGCTTTGTCTTTGTATTTACTGCACTGCATCTGTATCACAGCCTTTAGGGCATACTGATTCTTTGTGTTTCCGTTTAGGTTTGTTTACATTGGAGGCATCCATCTAGCCATTTAGTTATCAGTTTGATGCTAGTCTTGAGATTCTAGTTAAGCTTAACTGGGTCAGAGTAAACATCTCTATGCAGTAATACTGTATAGCTCTCCAGGAATTAACTGCTTTGGGTGATAAGAGTTAGTTAACACTGGGTAGACAAAGTGGTAAGCACAACTGAAGTGCCAGGAATACTGGCTAACTGTTCATTTCTTTAGGAATTCTGGGAGGTTCTAATTCTGTTTTCATCATTAGAACTCAATTAGATCTAATGTATTTTATTTGCTTGGGGAAAAATATAATTAAATAAATGCCAGCTCCAAATATCACTGTTGGTAATCTGTTAATCTTATCTCTGAAAGAACAAAGAGAAAAAAGTATGTGCATATTAGACTTTTCAGGGTTCCTGAGTAAATTATCAAATATATCTATGGGATACAAAACAAATTTCTAAATCCCAAGTTATTCCTTTACATATTTGTGAAATCCTCAAAATTTCACAAGGGAAATAAGCCTTTACTCAAAGGTAAACTTTGAAGCTTGAATACAAAGGCAAATCAAGTGTAAACAGTATGTTCTAACCTTTCAGATAGCAAATCACTGTTAAAAGGGAACTGATAAAAAAGGCAGTAACATCAGTAAATGTGTGACAAGATCAATCACTTCCTAGAGGGCATGGCTGTGTCCTCTGTTGTACAACCAAACTATTAAAAAAAAAGCTTATACTAATTCCCAGTCACTTTTCCACATTTAATATAGCAGCCAATTCAACCCTATTATGTAATGCATTGATTCCATCCCAGCACTTAATATACTGCCTGCTCTATAGTAGGTACTTTAGTATTTTTGTGAGAAAGAAAATAAAAAGGAATAAATTGACTAATTTAAAGAATATGTAAAATGAGGGGGTTGTTAGATACAATAGAAAAGGGAAAAGGGAATTAAAGACGAGAGACATCATTCCTTCACATATCCCGGAGTGTGTTAGCTCTGGATTCCAGTTTCAAAGCCCACTTGGTGATACTCTTGTCAAGTCCCTTTAGATCACTATTACTTTCTTCATCTGTAGTGATTTTATTGAATTACCTTCAGTACCACTTCAAGCTACAGAACTGGAGTTAACATAAATTGGATTATATTCACAGAATTTCATAATGCAACTTTCTTAAGGGAATATTAAATAGTGCTCTGTTTTGTATTTTGCAATGCAAATAACCTTCAGGCACTGTGAAAATGTTGTCAAGTTCCCCTTCACGCTGACAACTGTATGCTAGCTATCTGTTAAGGCTAGCTTTCTAGCTCTGAGGTATGTCCTCTCCACCTCCAAGCATCTGACAGTGTCTTTGGTCAGAGCACACATTCAAAGGTCATGTCCAGAAAAGCAAGGTTAGCATTTATCACAAGTTCTTAAATGAGAGTATGAATTATGGTGAGAAAGAGAAGGGTAGTGAGGTGGGAAGGGGAAAGCCTGACTTCTAGTACTCAAATGTCCAGTGTGCCAAAAGAATCTTAAGCTAGGATTCAACCGGGCTCAGCATTAAGTCCTAGCTGCTTCATAATATGGCCCTTATCTTCTCTATTTCTTATTATATATAGTTTTTAACTAACATTAAAATATTAAATAGAATAAAGAAATCAAGCCCAGTTGAGAGTAAAGCAGGACTACCACCCAGCATTTCATTTCATAACATTGCTTAGAAGTGAGTGGGCTTTGGGTTCAGACTGGTTCTTTCATTTGCAGCTCACCGTCTCACTTTTCTCATCTGTAAAATGGGGAAATAGGGTTGAAGTCTGGATTAAATAAGTTAAAATCTGCAAAGCACGTGGAACAGTCATTCTTAGTGCACGTTTGACTTCCTTAATTACATTTTCTTGAAGGCACGTTCCTAGCTTCTGTGTCAGTTAGCATGGCGCCTAATACAATACTCTACACCTGCCTATCTTTAGAACAATGGAACTGACAAAACACCCCAGGTCCCGAAAGCCCGGAGACTGACGTAGGAAGCTCCGAAGGCGGAAAAGCGCACGGGCTCCGCGTCCCCACCCGCGCGAAGCCGCCGTTTTGTTAGAGAGCAAAGTCCTCTGGGAAGTGTAGTCTGTGGGCCTGGAGAACTCTTTTGGCCACAGGGGAGCCAGTTAGTTGAGAGAGCGGTGAAGTAGTTAAAGCTGAGGATTAACGGATAACTCAAAGTGTCAGGAGCCCCAGAGTTGGATTAAGCCGCTTACCTGAATCTCCCAATACCAGCACCTTCACCCGGTCCAGGGACGCCATTTTACCCCTCCTTCCCAGGTTAACGCCTGTTCCGGGATTATAGGCCAATCAGAGCTGGGCATACAAAGCCGGGCCTTCAATTTCATTGGCCAATCGGAGTGAGACTGTCTTGATTGAAGGCTTCACCGTGCTGATTGGCCAACCAGGTTAAAAGTAGTGGGTGGGTTCCAAAAACTGGTCGCAGGAATAAGGCGTGCTTTTTCTCGCGTGAAGGCGCGACAAGTTTGAGGCGGTAGTTGAAGCGCTGAGGGAAGCTGTAGTGGGAGTGTTCGAGGATTCGCTTTGGTAAACCTTGTTCCCTGTTCATTGTTCGCGATTCCCTGGCCTGGCGTCGCATTTAAGGGTTTCTTCCCCTTTTCGCTCCTTTCTCCTTAGTTACCTTCCTCCCCTTGGCTGTGTGTTGACTTGGTCCTCCAAAGAACCCTTGACCCGGAGCGGCCCGTGTGCGACCTCGGGTAGGACGGCCTTGGCTGAGCTGAGTGTGGTCCCTGGACCCAGCTGGCAGAGTTCGAGGGAATTTAGGGTCTCCAGGTCTCGTAGTGGGCAGGAGTGAACATTACTGAACCGAGCTTGTGGAGACATCTGGTGATATGCCGCTTCCTGTATGAAAGTATGGAAAGTACTGTGAAAAATGGTAGCTGAGAAAACCACAGTTATATGTATAGAACCCAAGTTCTAGAACTGGAATAGTAGTAGCACACTGAAATAGTCTAACCGGACGCCACGCACCCAGCTCTTCCTTGTTTTATTTTGCACCTGTGGTCATCATAACCTTTTAAAATCGCGAATTTGAACCTGTCATCGCATGTTAAAAAAACCATTTGAAGTTTTAAGGAGAGGGTTTCCAATAGCCTGCCTTTTTTTCTACTATGGAAGCAGCAATGGAGAAAGTGAACTGGGGGGAAAGCTGGCAGGGTGGGCCTGTTGGAAGAACACATGCTTAGGAGACATACTGAAAATTGTATGGATGTGCTTGACTAGCCGTGCTAGATGCTGGAAAGTCGGTGGTGAACATGATTAAGTCCTTGATCTTAGACACAGACATGGAGAAAGCACAAGTCTGTTCACTGTAACGAAGAAGGGGAGTTATGGGAGCATGTGAAAAAGGAGTCATTTTGAGCTAAGGTGAATCTGGGAGGTCTCCCTGGGGATACCTCATTTGAGATGTGAAGGATGATTGGAAGAAGTTTGGGCTTAGCTTTGGATGCAGAAAGAAGAGCATGTGCAAAGGCCTCGAAAATGGGAAAAGCATGTGTAGCTTGTGGAATTGAGAGAATGCCAGTGTGGCTGGAGATGAGGCTGACAAGGGTAGACAGTGCAGAGAAAGCGTTTATTTAAACTGTTTCTCCAACTCTGTGCCTGGTGCATAGTGGTCCTTAAATGTTTGTATGATTAGAATACATATGGTTCAGAAACAAAACCAGTGTACATGCCTTTGGAGATCTGGAATGGGTAGGGAGGTAGGTGAGCCTGGAAGGTAACAAATGGACGCTGAGGCTAAAAAGAAGAAACAAGGGCTAGCAAGTGAGAGGTCACACACAGAAGTCTTCAGAGGCCAGCTAAGATCTTTACCTGTTAAAACTGTCAGCTGCTCTTTCAGCTTCATGTGGGAACGTAGTCTTAATTTTTCCTCAGATATTTCCAGTTTCTAAGAGGAGGTGAAAGTTGAAATTTATGTGAAATCTCACAGGTTTTAAATGTTGACAAAGAGTTCAGAAACTTTCAAAACATTCTTTGGGTCAAACAATGCAGCAGAGGCTGTGGTTTGAGACCTCTGACCTAAGTAACTTAAATCAGAGATTGAGTAGGGAATTCAGCATTAGTAGGGAAGTAGAAGTGGTGGAGGAGAGAACTCTGGCTGGGAAGGAGGATTTTAGAATGTAGAGATTTATAACAAGGTGGAACAGCATGGCTTCCTTGCTGAGCTACAATTTCATTTCTTAAGCTACCTGCTTGACACCTTCACAGGAATATTCTGTGATATTTCTTCAAAGACAACCAACTCAAAGTGAATGCCTCATTTCTTCCAAACCTGTTCCTCTTTTGGTATTGACCTATTTCTCATAGTAGCACTTTTCCTAATTGCACTGGCTCAAAGCAAATACTATAAGTTATTGTTTAATAACATATTAAACTATGTCATTACTTAATGGATATAATATTTCAGTTTTACAAAATGAAGAGTTATGGAGATGGATGGTGGTGATAGTGGCACAACATTATGAATGTATTTAATACCACTAAACTTTATACCTAAAAAGGGTTAAGTGTTAAATTTTATGTTGTGTCAAAAACATTGTCAAAACAAAACAAATAGCTGTTTAAAATTTTCCTGTTCTGTGACGCCATTTCCATTATATTATTGGGTTATTTTGATTTTGTTCCTGTCATAAGTTGCATGTATCTTGTCCTTTTGCAGTTTTTGCTCTCTTCCTTTTTAGGCTTGGTTACCATAGTGCATAATATTTCCAGGGTCTTCATTTACTTCAGTCCATTCCTCATATCGTTATGAGTCACTTTTCTACTCATTTTGTCAGGGATTCTGTGTTTCTTCCTTTTACTAGATGTCTCTGCTATGCTTTCTGGTTCTTTTCTGTTGGTCCTCTCTTCTTCCTAAGGTATAGGGGGTCTGTTCTTTAGTCTTCAGGTTGTTTTCAACTCTAGTTGTATTTTCTGTATTTTCCTCTTTTATGTGTTTTTAGGAGAAGGTTTGCCTTCTTATTTTGCCATCTTTTCAAGAGTCACTTTTGTAAAAAAGTGGTCTTACTATGAATACCAGTACTTAATGGAACTCTTATGATGCCAGACCTGAAAGCGGAACACTTTAGGTGAATTGTCTCATTTAATCCATTTATCAACTCTATGAGGTAGACACTATTAGTGCATTTATATATGAGAAAAGAATTTTCCACGGTTACAAGGCTAAGAAATGGTGGTACTGGGATTCAAAACCCAAAAATATTGGATTGCAGAGTCCTCTTGTCATTCCCTTACTCAAATCTTTAGGATCCCCTGAGGTGTTTTAAACAAAGGAAACAGGCTGAATGCTAAATAGCACGGGGTCCTTCCCATGTAGGATGCACTTTGGCAGGGTATGTAACAGCTGAGCACCAGATTTGTCTGAAGCTCTGATCAGGGACTTTTTCTATGTATTAGAGTCACCTAAGAGCTTTTAAAATATGATGATGCCTAATCTGGCCCTCCCAGGTCAGCTGAAACAGAATCTCTGGGAATGGGGCCTAGGGTGGCTATTTTTAAATGTCCCCCACATGATCTGCTTGATAGCCAGAGTTGAGAATCATTGGTCTGGAAAATGGAGTGTGTGGGGTGGGAGGTCAGTAAGGGGAATACAATAGTAGGAAATAACTGGAAAAGAGGTTATTTTGACATTGTCTGCCATTCTTTGGTCTGTTGGATGTTTCTGAACATATATTGTGTTTTGCCAACTGTTGAGCATGTAAAATAAAACAACCACAAAAAAACAAAACTGAGTTCAAGTACAATGTATAGACCAAATTGGACAGGAGAACCAAATGCATCCAGTATAAAATTGATACATTTTATAAATTTTCTAGTATGCTACAATACTATGTTGTTGAACCCAGGCACTTGCTCACATCCTTAAGCCTTGGGATGGCAGGAAAGCCCTAGGACTATAGGTTTGGATTTGGGTGCTACTCTTGTATATAGTCTTGCCTGAGTATTTACAATCTGAACTATATATTGTATTATAACTGACCTGCCTTTGACTTTTCCTGTATGACAGGTAGGGCATTCTATTTTTCCCCCTCAAAATATGTGTAGATTAGTTATTTAGGAATATCTTTTTAGGACAGTACTGTGGATATGAAAATATTTCTTATAAAAAGAGATTAAATCAGATAGGGTTGATAACCACTGATTTTAATAGGTCCAGCCTTTTACAAAGTTTATAAAAGTTTCAATAGAAACGATTAATATATTAATATTAACAATATGTTTTTTATTCATCTAGTTCAATGAAATGTCTGTGTTAAAAATTTCTCTATGGTGTAGCCAGTGTGGATAGCCTGGCCATTTTTAGTTGGGACATACTAAATTGATATAGAAGTTATTCTTATTATCAAGTACTTCCTAAGCATATTACTTACATTCTCATTTATTCATCACAACAGTGTCATTGAGATAGTTGATACTATCCTTATTTCTCAGAGAGTAAAGTGGGGCTTGAGTTTAGGGGATTTGCTCAGGATCACACAGCTACTAAAACACAGGCTGTGTAAGTATGAATTCCAAAGCTCAGGCTTTTTAACAACCACATGAAAGTCTAGCCCATGTTAATTCAGGCTTCTAGGAGACAGCCTTCTGGGTCATGACATGAGAATTGGGTATAGTGAGCTTCTGCTTTTTCCTGTAAGGGACCCAGTATTTAAGGATATCTTGGGCTTTTTCGGGGGATGTGGGTGGGGGGTGCTTTCTGGAAACTTTTAAGGACTGTATGGTATATAATTGGTTATCAGATTTAACTTTGCAAAATTGGTAAAGCTCTCTGGATCTAAGTTTTTACTTCTTTCAGATTTGTAACAGTAATTTTGCCAGTCACCCCAATTGGTTAATACTTAGGTATTACTTGGTCTGTTGTGATGTTATTGTGAGACCATGACTATGTAAAAGGTCCTAGAATCTATCTTGGTAGAAAAGTTTTACTTAAGAAAAGGAATAAAGACACTTTAAGGGTATGCTTATTGTTAGGGTCTCAGAAGTTATCCAGCATTCCCAAAGATCTATAGCATTAAGATTAGTGAGACTTCATTTAGCTTTTTTGTGTTCTCTGCATAAAATAAGGTGAACTTTATGTAATATATCATTGCTATAAGTAATGTTACTTTTTGTGATCCAGCACCCTGTAAATCATGAAAATAACAACCTAAGAAATACATCAGGCTTTTTAGTTGTAAACTTTTTTGTGCACTCTAGAGGATAATCTTGTTGCCTGTTAAATGCTTAGGCATTATAAATCTTTTAAAACAATGTTTTGAATACCTTTGTGGCATTCCAAGAATAATGGTAACCACCAGTTCCCTAATGGGTTGATTATTCTAGATTT